CTGAGTAAGCAAGATGTTCTAGCAGGTTCCACCACAGAGGTATAAATATAAGGCCTACTCTGCCTGGGGACTGTCTCTTCAGACTTGGTCTTTTAGGATCATCCACAGGTACCTATACTGTAGATAGGTCTTAGTCATCAGGTCTACTCCACTTCCTTGTTGCCTGCTTAGACTCTTGGCACTCTTAGGTGAGCAGACTTAGTCAGCCTGTGTTGCCCTAACAAGATCTCTTCGAAATCACTCATATGTGGCATAATCAAGACTGGCACCCTCATCTTCAAGCAGCTCATAATCTGGTCTCTGATCAGTTATCGGAGTTTTTGTCACAGCCAGGAGTGGAAAGTGGATGTCTTATGTATTTGGATCACCCCCATGACAAATCGACCTATTGGAGCATTCAAGATGGCCATATTTGGAACATGCTTGTTGGTCATGATGGCAACCCTTTCTTTCCTAGCACATGAGCCAATTTGCAAAAATACAATTCTCATGAGTTGCACCTGGGTCTCATAATCTCCATTGATTGGAAAGTTTGAGTGTCCCACACTCCAATGTGCACTGACAGGAAGCAGGTTCAATCCCAACTTCCTGACTAATGGCACTCCTCATTCAACAGGCATGAAATCAGTGCAGGTTGCTAACCTGCTGCCAGCCTCAAGGTATTCTATGCTCTAAGTAATTATTTTCCTTGCACTGATGGCCAAATGCAGGTTTTGACCATACAATCTTCTCATCACAACAGTCCTTCCTGGACCAACCAAACCAACCACTGATGATTTAAGTCAATATGACAAAGAAGACATTGACAATCTCTTGTGCCTCTGGAGGGATGGTGCCTGGGTCAAGACTGCTGATTATCCCCAGGGGCAGTTGGTTTGCTGTGCTGTCATCACTGTAGTTTGTGACCACCCAGTGATGTGCAAACTTTGTGGATTTGCTGACCACAATCACACTTGATTTCCATGTACAAAATGCCAAGTTTGACAAAATGAAATGGTCTTTCCACCAGACTGGCCAGTTGCATGGCACTGTGGGGAAAGGCACAAGCACCAGGGCACAAAGTATTACACCATAGTCAATTGAGCTAAAAGAGATTCATATGCCAAGCAATGGGGAGCCAGATGGTCCCAGCTCTGCCAGCTGCCATATTTTGACCTGGTCATCATGGCAGTAACTGATCCAATGCATGCCCTCTTGCTTGGTGCATGTAATCTTGTATATTCTATCTCTGACTAACTGCTTTGTAGGTATATCTTGAACTCTCTGTTTCAAGGTGTGGGTGAGCAGTGGAAGGTGCAAGAAAGGTCACAAGGTCAAACACTATATCTTGCATGAGAGACTCAAGACATCCAGCCAGCCATGAGAGCTCAATGAGATTCACGCCATTCTGAGGACTGTGAGTACCTGTGTATACTGTCTTGTTTAGCTGACTGTTATGAGCCTTAGTATGTTCATTCATCCCTGCAGGAGTAACAGGCAATTGACAGTTAGTTCCAGCCCTGAGCTGGAGATAGGCTTTTGGGAATTTGGTGCCTACCTGGGTACCTATGCCTCAGGACCATCTCCTCTGATGGAGGCACAATTTCTCTCTGGCATGGCCACCCATGCTACAGTGACAATTGATGACCATCAGATCTGGATCACCACCAGGTTAAGCAAGGTACAGGCTGCTTGATTGGACAACATGATGATATTCCACGTGTAGACTAACTATTGGATTTACAGGAGAGTTGGGAAATATGAATGTAATAATAGTACTTGGTGAGTGCCCTAACTTCCTCCTGCATTAATAGTATGGACATTAATATGTCATCCAGCATGATAGGTATAAAACAGAAAATATTTCCTCTGTTCTCAAGGTGAGTGTTTGCTACAAATCAGTGGGAATCTCAGCTTATATAGTCCAGATCTTTTGAGTGTAATTGATACTAGTCATTGTCATCATTGTCCTCAGGGAGACGCCATGCCTTGTCCTCATCCTGCAGGAGTTCAGCGAGTTCAGGAGAGATCATCCTCAGTGCCTTAGCTTGAATTTTGAAAGTGACATTGAGCTTGGGCATTTTTGTGCCTTCCACTCTTGGTTGACCATAAAGTCAAAATGGGGCAGTTGCTGGCATGATGTTGGTTGTGTTGTTAAGATCAATACAAGATGTAGAGGTGGAGATGAATGATTGGCCCTTGTTGAGTTCTGTTTTCTCCTTGAGTTCAATGAGGTACTTCATAAAGTTCCAAAACTGTGCTGAAGATGAGAACAGAGCCAAGAATGAGAAATTAATGCACACACCCCTTTGCTCTGCCACTTGGGATGGAGCACCTCCCAAGCCTAGCCCAGTTTTTTCTTCTGCACATTGCTGAGTGCTCTGCTGGCACACATGGACTTCCACCAGTGCTTGTCTACTTTGCCATTTTGATCAACTACGGAGCGCTCTTTGCCGACCCAAATGAGCTTGATGATCTCTTTGGAGAAGGTGTCAGGGTCCTCCATGCCCTTCTCTGTCACCCATATATTTGCCCCTGCCATTATCCAGCACCAGCGCTGGATACAGAAGGTGAGTAAACGCAGTTCCAGAAGGAGCACATGACTGACCATCTTCATGTGCTCCTTTTTTTGTTCTTCTTGGCATCCCTCTCAAACTGAACACATTTTTCATTGTCCCACTTCTTTTCCCATGCAGTCTTTAAACTCCTCCACCTCTGATGAACAAGCAGATGCAGGTTGTCAGGGAGCATCCAATGTTTGTCAGGTGTGATTGGATCATCCTAAACATGATAATATGGTATATCATTGTGCTGGACTTTGCTCACCTGATGATCTTGAAGAACTAGATTGATGACCTGATTGACTATCTCAGCATTGGAACCCTCATTGATGCCGAGAGACCAGTCGGGAACAAGATATGCTTTGCCAGGAGGATGAAGAAGTTCATGACCTTTGCTGGGTACATCCCCTTTGGCTGTATATCCTATAAGGTCATGCAACTTGTTCTTGATCTTAGTCTAGGGGAAAGGTAAGTGAAGTCCCCTTATGTATATCACACATCTGACTCATGTAAACTGTATCAAAGACCTGCTCCTGCTCTGGAGATAGCTCCTTCTTTGCCTTTTTCCTTGCTAAAAGCTCTTCCTCAGCAATACCAGCATCCTCTGAGCTCTCCATGACCACATGTCTCTTGTGTGAAGAAGGGGCAGCGGGTCTTTCATGTTCCAACTTGCTGATTTGGTCAGTGATTACTTTCACTTGATTGAGTAGATTGACATGAGTTTGCTTCATTCGCTGTATCTCTTCCTGAGCACTCACATACTGCTCTTTTCAACTGGCCAAGTCAGTCTCCAGCTCAGTGATGAGTCTCTGCAACTCTGGCACATCCACCTCCAGCTTGTGAGTGACTGTCTGGAGCTCCGAGACAGAGGGGTTCAGAAAATTGTTGATGACAGCAGAGAGTGCCTTGATGTTGACATGCAGCTCATTGAACCCCCTGGGTGCCGAAGGGTCATTTTGCCTACAAAGCATGTCAGTGAGTGGAATATCATTGTGTTGTTTGATCTGACTCACCCATTGATAGCTTGAGCAACAAGTTCAGCAAGGATCAAATGTTGGGCCATGGTCAATTTCCCGAAGTATTTGGCAAGGGCATTGCCAGTTGGAGCAGCAGGGGCCATTGCTTTTGGAGCAAGGTCAAGAGGGTGGTGGAGGAGAATATGAGGCATGAGAGTTGGTAATGCTTGTTCAGACAATATCAAGGTGAGGAGGTTAGTGGATGGAGGAATATGATCTTGAGAGTCAGCAGAACAGTTAGAGGTATTGGGAGAGGAGGGGATGGACCAGGGGAATGGGACAATAGGAATTTTTGGGTGCAAGTAAACAATAATATAACATGATGAGGAACAAATGAGAATTCAGGCCCTGAGGAATATTGATGATAGTGTGGAGGAGTATCAATGACAAAGAGACAGATGGTCTGAAAGGAGTATATTGTATGTTAATATAGATTGTCTAGACTATCTGGTTTAGCCATTTCCTAGTTATACTTGGGAACTCTATACTCTGAAGGTATAGGTTAAACATGAGGCTGAGTTGCTAGGCATAATATAAAGTATAGGAACTTCTAGACATCAGATGGTCAGATGATCCATGACTACTGGAGCTTATTAGATGGAGGTCATCTGATCCACCTAGGCTAACACCCCCTAAGGAGACCCTGACACGTAGTGACTATCCTTCCGTGCCCAAGTACCCAACCAGAACACCGATTCCCCAACCCTGCCCTACACGTTTCCCCATACCCTAGTTCCAAACAACCAATAATTTGCACTTCGACCCCCCCATACTCAGTCTCCAAATTTCCGGATCGGACATAATCAGATCAGACTAGATCAGATTTCCCATCCAGAAGGACTAGTAGTACATCTATTTACACGTGACCAGAGCCAAGCGAACGGGAGTTTTTGACGGTTGGGACAGGGACAGGGACAGGGTGAGGTGATAAGGGAAGGAAGTACGTGCCCTAGGAGGGAGGGAGGGGGGAACGTTCTACGTATGTGATGTGAGGCAGTCCGGGGAGGGGAGGGAAAGGGGGAAGGAGGGAAGGGAGGAGGAAGGGGCAAGGGGGAGAGAAGGGCAGGAAGTGCTCGGAGCTGGGTTTGTACGAGAGAGACAGGGTAGAAGGAATACGAGGGAAGGAGATATCGCCAAATTGCAGGGAAGAGATTGCAAAGGATTGCGGAAAATTGTCAGTGCGAGATCGAGAGACGTGAGAAAAGATGGCGTGCAAAAGAGAGTGAGTGTCCAACGAGTGAGTCCAACGAGCGTGAGAGTACGACAGTCCGAGTCCGTCCATCCATCCACTAAGTACGGTCCAGTCCATGCAAAAAAAACCTAAACCCTCCTACCTTCCCTCGCCCTCCTCGCCCTGCTCCTCCCTCCTTCCCAACAGCTGTTTCTCCACATCCCCCCCCTCCTCCCTCCCCACCTCCTCCTTAGGCAAACTCATCACCCAAGTATACCCTCCCGTCCCCCCCAAGATCACCCCCAAACTCAGCACTCTCTGGAGTCCCATCCCCTCCCCTAACCACCCCACCCCTAACAGGACTTGCAACACGCTCCTCCCCGCCGAGGCGAACATGTGCGTCACCGGAGATGTCACTTTCACCGAGAGAGTGCCGGCGAGGCAGATCATGAATCCCACCACTCCGGTAAGGAGGTTCCCGTAGACAAATGTCTTCCATTCCCAGCCTCTGGCAAGCAAGCTCCTGAGCTCTCCTACTTCTCCCCTTGCTAGCATAAACAGCAGCAGCACCACCGCCGACCCCAAATTCCGCCAGTAAGCGAGTTGGAGCGCACTCCCCTTGACGTAAGGCAAAGAACGCTTGATGAGCACTGCCTGTACTGCTACTGACAACGATGCCAGCAAGCCGTACACGACTCCCAGGAGGTTTATATTCGTTTTCCTCACTCCTTGCCCATCCGCAGGAGGGGGCGTGACCCCCAGTAAAAACCCGGCTGTGACGATGCCCGCGCAGAGCAGTACCCCGCGAGAAGGAGGAGTACGTGTCGAGAGCGCGGAAACGAGTATCGTGAATGGGAGTGCTAGCCCGCGCGCCACTTGGTAGACGGTGGAATCGACCTCTCGGAGACAGAAGGCGTTGAGCGTGAACCCGGCGACGTCGCCTAGCATCACTGGGGCTAGGGAAATGCAGGTTTGGAGCGAGAGGTGGGGGAGTTGGAAGCGTGTTGGACGGAGGAGGGCGGAGAGGTGCACGAGGAGGACTGTCATTAGTGCCTGCGGAGCGTTAGTGTTGCTCGGGAGGGGAGCGGAGGGGAGGGAGGGATGGATGGGGGGGACGGACCTGGATGAAGACAGTAGTTACTACCAAACTGGGCGTGTCGTTAAGTATGATCTTGTTAACGCAGACCATCTAGTTCGTGTGAGCGCTAGGTTAGGGGTTAAGCAGGGAGGGGAGGGGGCGTACGACGAGGGCTGCGAACATGTAGAATGCTACTACTGCTGCGACTTGCCATTTTGAGTATTCGGGTTGGGGAGGGAAGAGGGGGGGTTGAGGGGAGGAGGGGTGGGGAGAGGAGGGGGAGGAGGAGGGGGAGGGGGAGTGAGGGAGTTTCTGTGGAGGGGATGGGGATGACATTGTTGGTTGATGGGCAGGGGAAGGGAGGCAGAAGTGAGAGTAATAAACGCTAGAAGGGCGGTGTACTAATACGCTAGAGGTGTGGGAAATAGAGGAAAGGGAATGATGGATTCGCCTCGAGGCGTGCTGTGCGTGTGCTGGCTGCTGATTAGCGTCCGATCCAAATGGGAAAGGGAAAGGGAAAAGGAAAAGGGATAGAAATGAAGCGAGTCAAAATAAGTGGCTAGAATGAAAGAGAGTGAGGGAAGTGTCTCTGATCAAACATGCCCCTTCCGACAACAGAGTGACGGTTACCGGGTGTCCCCCTCTCCCTTCTCTTGGCACGGGTCTAGATCACAGATACTATGATGCGGAATGATGAGGCTGACCAGCCACTTACTCAGGGTCCGACATCACGGACATGAAAAGTATTGTTGCATAGCCAGACACTTCCAGCCTTGTATTCGCTATATCAACACCTTCCTCTTCCCCTTCTCACCCACAATCACCCACCACACAATGCCAACCCTGACAACAACCCTCACATACCTCATCCCCCTCCTCATCCTCTACTCCATCTATACACTCTCCCGTCCCTTCATCTCCCTATACCGCAACTACCAGCACGCATTCCCCATCGGTCTTCCGATCAAACTCATCCCCCTCCCTCCAGGCCTCTTCTCCTTCTTCGCAAACCAGTTCCTCCTCCGTCTGAAGCTCATCCGCCCTGGATCAAAACTCCATAAAGCGCTCAACGTAGGCAGACCCGAGGGCTGGGGGATGCATAAAGAGCTTGGGGGGGCGTTCTTGACTGTTAGCCCTGTGGGAGTCACACTGGTACTTGCGGACCCGGAAGCTATAAGCCAAGTCTGTGCGAGTAGGGAGAGGTTCCCAAAACCGCCTAACACAGGCGGTGAGTCCCCCTGCATCCCACTCCATCGCACCCCACTGACAACCCACAAGCGATCATAAACCTCTTCGGACCAAACGTAATCTCAACAGATCACGCAACCTGGCGCCTCCATCGGAAAGTCACAGGCCCCGTCTTTAGCGAAAAGATCCACGCCAGTGTCTGGTCCGAAGGCCGGCGTCAAGCGCAGTTTATGCTAGATTCCTGGCTCCCTCCTTCCTACTCCGGTTCCCGTTCCACTGCTCCCGCACGGGGGGAATCGGTCGTCGTTCAGACCTTGTTTGACGACACCCTCAAGCTAGGGCTGCACGTCATAACCGGGTCCGCGTACGCCTGTCCCCTCAGCTGGTCCGGCGCCTGCTCAAACCCGCCAACAACATCCAAGCAACCGCAGTCATATTCCCAAAGTGTGGAGCAGCTTAACAACTACCTTATGCCGCTATTTCTTACCCCGCGCTGGCTGTTACGCGCTGCTAGAGGGGGCGAGTGGGGCAGGGCTTGGAGTGCTTATTTGGCGCTGGGAGGGTATTTGGAAGGGATGCTAAAGCGGGAAAAAGACCGCAGGCAGTGGGGTGACGACCCGACCCCTGCCTCTCCCTCCCCCCAGCAGGAGCAGGAGCAGGATGATGAAGGACCGAAGGAGAATTTGTTGAGTGTGCTTTTGGACTCGGAAGAAGGAGGGGATGAGAAGGAACGGAGGATGACGCATGATGAGGTTTTGGGAAACGCTTTTATATTCATGTTTGCTGGTACGTCCCCCCCCCCTCCCCTCCTTGCACCAAGCCGCACGTCCCAAGCCCCTTCCCTGCCCCTCAGCGGCTAACACAACCCAGGGCACGAGACAACAGCGAATACGACACACTACGCCCTCCTCCTCCTAGCACTGCATCAAGCTGTCCAATCCCGCCTCCACTCCGAACTAGACGCTCTCCTCTCCCTCGCCTCGTCCCAAAACCGCGACTTAGATTATACGCTCGATTTCCCCCATGCGACCTACACGCTCGCCGTCATGCAGGAAACGCTCCGCCTGTACACTCCTACGAGTATCATCAACAAGTCTGCCCAAGGGGACCAGAGGCTCGCGTTCGAAGGGAAAGAGTATGTAGTTCCGGGAGGGACGAGGGTTGCAGTTAATATTACGGGTGTGCATTCGAGCCCTAAGGTGTGGGGGGAGGACGTGGGCGAGTTCAGGCCGGAGAGGTGGTTAGTCCCCGTCCCCGCCTCTGCCTCTGCCTCTGCTTCGGCGTCAAAGGAACCCTCTCGAGCCAACACACCCGCCCCACCGGGCACACCGCTCCACTCCCAGCAGCCAGAACCCGAGCTAAAGAAGCACACCCTCCTAAAACCCGCTCGAGGCTCCTACCTCCCCTTCTCCGAAGGCACCCGCCAATGTTCCGGCCGCAAGTTCGCCAGCGTCGAATTCGTGAGCGTGCTGTACACACTGCTTTCGAACTATAGAGTGGAGATATTGGGGGAAAGGGAAGGTTGGGGGGAGCAGAGGGTTAGGCGGGTTTTGGGGGGGAGGAGGGCGGGGGCTTTGACGCTGCAGGTGCCGGAGAGGGTGCCGGTTAGGTTTGTTAGGAGGAAGTAGGCAGCGGGCAGCGGATGGATGGATGGACATGTAGAATTACTTGATACTGCGACTTGCACTTGGACTCTCACACACACACTCTCACCACTCTTGCATCCTCGACTCTTGCACTCTTGTGGGCAATGTACACATGCGGAATTTACTTTCCTACACTACAACTCCCACACCTGGGGCTGACCAGACTCCGGACGTGTATACCAGCAGAGACAGGTCGTCTTTAAGCTTCTAAACTGAAGCTGCTGCCGGTGCTGCTCGTGCTGCTCGTGCGGGTGCTTGTTCTTGTGTAGTGCACGATCTGGTCATACGACCAATCCTCGATGTCCATAAATCCTAAAGCAGAATGGATGCAGCTTTTCTTCCGTACTGGGTTGGCTGTACGTAGGTGAAGTGAGCAACGTCAACTCAGGGGTCCGAGTCAGACATCAGCGTCCAACCCTCCGAGCCCGTTAACGTTCTGCGAGTTACAGTCCTTACATGTGTACTGGCCCAAACGGGCAAGAGCGGGGATCTGATAAATTACAAGTAATGTACCCTCGGGGCGGGACGTAGGATTCTGCTTGCTGTTTTGACTTGGACGAGTTCGGCCGTGTTGGAGTATCGTTGGACGTTGGACGTTGGACGTTGGACTTGGTGAACTGTCCATGCTCCTGCCTATTCGAGGATGTTGATCATGCACTACACGCCAGCGCTCTGGAAGGTAACTTATCCGCTCTCAACCCGTCCCTTAAGCTTGATGATGACAGTGATCGTGTTTCCTTATTCTGGTGATCTGTTTTATAGTTTGATATCACTGGAACTGAGACTCGTAATCTGGGATCCGAAGCCCGAGTCTGGGAGATGGGATCTTGGACACTGCCGGTCGGGTCTTTCCTGTCGAACATTTTCGAACATTCGACCATTCGTGCGGATCTGAACATCTGACACGCCACATGCATATGTACAGCAACACCAGTACTTCCAAACACGAAATAATTGTATCTTCCCCAACTGCGGACGTCAACAACCTTGGACGTTCGCCGATATGCCCGGCCGGGGCACTGTCCAGAGTTTGAACAAGTTCGAACGTTGAGAAAATCCAAAGTCCTCGTTTGGGAGATTTGGGACTTTGGACATCGCCCGCTTTCCTGTCGAACATTCGTCTACGCGGATCTGGTCATTCAACGCCACAGGCGGTTCCGAACAAGAAGTACTTAATCGTTTCTTCTCAAACTGCGGACGTTCGAAAACCTTCGGTGTAGGCCGCCCCGCACTGAGTGGAGGATGACAAATGCCGATTTCGCCGTAGAATGGCTCATGCGTTCCGAGCTCGAGCTGTTATACATGGGCTTTCCGATTATAGAGCCGAGCAGAACGTTCATCAGAAGAAGCTAGCTTGAGATTCGATTACTGCCTTGGATTTCCAGGGCTCGTCGGCGGCCGCGGCCGGCCAGACCTGTTCGGACAAAGTACGCTTTCTTCTCTTCCCGAAGTGACAGCATCAACACGAACAAGAAAGCACGCATTCTGAACAGAAAACAAGAGCGGTCGTCAAGGGGACACAGACGTCAGAAGGGATGCCGATGGCAAGTAGGGACCGGAGGACCGGGCGCTGACCCTGGAATGAAGGGAATGTGCGCTTATTATGTTCCCGGATGCCGGTATTCGCTTTTACGGGCAAGGGACGGAACAATTTAGGTGGTCATCTTTGGTGTGGCAAGCAAAACGCAGGCAGTATTACGCTCAAAACCACTGTCGGCGTGTGAATAATTGTCAAAACGTCGTTACGCTCTTTCAATACAAGGAATGTTAATTGTGGTTGTACAATACTGTTGTTCACAGTCCTGATATTCCGCTACCCTCGGATATCAAGCCTATCCGTCGATCAAAACCTGCTCAGCCGCTTTCTGTACCTCCGTCCAGAAGCGCTCCATACTACCCTTCTCAAATCCATTCTCGTCATATGCCATATGCAACCACATCCTACCCGCAAAAGTGTGCGCCAAAAATAGAAGGCCACCAGCTTTGAGACGGGAGGCGGTGGCCACATCATGTAGCTCCATTTCCGGGTACTGATCAGCGAGATAGACTTTATCGAGATTACCCATGAGTGAGATGCCCATCAGCGCTTTGCTTGGCACAGGCTCATAGCGGGGTGAGATTGCCCCTAGTGCGTCCGGTGACGGCGGAAGCAGCGCCCTCTCCGAAGAAACCGGAACAGCGGTACCCCCTGTGACTGGACTCCACTTTCGACCTGCACGTTCAGCGCGCTGTGCACCCATGATCCGTGCCCGGTGGACGAGAAATTTAGATTGAGTGATGTACGCAATTTGGTCGCGCACTGAACGACATCGTTCCCAGAACGTGTTTTCGAAAGACCGACGTTCATGTTGAGAGCACGTGACTATCTTCGGAAGGAAGGCGGGTAGGACGATGTTGAAGTAGGTCAGGGCGACGAACCAGTATGACATGTGCTTCTCTAGCTCAGCGTTCGGGTAGGTGAGGTAGGGTCGTAGACTGAGCGCGGTGTAATTCATTCTGTAAAGCCCATAATCAGTAACGGGCCCGCTGTTCAAAGAAGACAAGGTGATACATCGGCAACTCGAACCCGCTCTGCAGCATCCTCGCCCAAGCCACATCGACGAGGGCGAAGACAGCATGGTTTGCGCTGACGCCTCTCTTCTTGCATATCTGCAGCACGCGTTTTGTCTCTTCCTTAGAAAAGCCGCGCTCCAGCAGGACCGTGCGCAACGGTCCATGCTGTTTCCGGGGCAGAGTATGGCCGCCCACCTCGCGCTCCTGTGACTTGAGGTAATTCACCTGCGCCGCAGCACGTGCAAGCCTGCCTTGAGCGGGAGAGGGAAGGAGAGCTTCCGCGGGAAGCGGAAGCCTATCGTGCTAATGTTAGAACGTACTTGTCAGCCGGTGCCAGCATTCTGTGATTCAGGAGCTGTTAACGTACCCATTTGCCTTCTATGGCCTGCAAGTCGATTTCCAGCGAGCGCAATACGTCGGTGGCGTTTCCCGGTGCCGATAATAGCACAAGGAAATCGTGCGCCGACTGATGAAGCGGGAGGGCATCGCCCGAAAAATGAGGCGCACACAAATAGAGATCGTACGATGCTTTCGCCGAGGATCTATCCGCATCGTATATGTTTGTATGTCCATTTACCAAGCCGGTAACAAGTTCGCCTGTTACGGTCGAGCTCACTACTACGGGTACTGAGGGTGATGCAGACGCCACATCGAACGGTGAATCGCCGTCCGTGCTTGAGCCAGATCGCGCAATCACCAGCCGAGCGATGCAATCATCGTCCAACGGCCGCGGCGAGCCATTCATATATCTGTCGACAAATTCCGCTTTTGTATAGCGCTCGAAGGTCAGCCGCTTGCGGGCAGCATCCAGCAGTTCGTCTGTGTTCTTGGGCGGTGCGAAACTGCCAATTAGGCAGAAGGGATTATCGCGTCAGGTGATCGTTCCGTGTTTGGGAGGTGGGATAGAGGGCGTACCTGAAGCAGGGCTCTGCCAGCGCGTCGCCCTCGTGCCTGATCACGCGTGATAAGAGAAGCGGATGCCTTAATAGGAGGGTGCTCCACGCGAGCAGCACACGCTCCGGGTCTAGCAGGGAGGGAGGGGCACTGAACGAGAGGTGCAGGAACCTGCGGAGCGCCGGAGAAGCGCCGAAGGCGAACAGAAGGCGTGTAAGGACCGAATATCACGGGGCATACCAAGGTCGGAGAAGAGGGGGATGGTAGAACAGAAGGCGAGGGAAATTTTCCGGGGTGTGAAGTTTAAGGTCGCCGGGGATAGGGATGCCACAAGTCAGCAATAGGAAATAGCATGAATGGACAGGTGACAATGTATCAGATGAGATAGATAGAGTCAGCAAGCGCCTCTCGAAACAAGAAATAGACCGTACATGTCCCCTACGCCGGTGTGCGAAAACGCATGGAAGGCAAACTCGCTATCGCCAAGAGGGCGTTCCCAGACTTCTCCTCCACTTCCATTCTGGGAGGAGAGACGAGTCCAGGCCATATGTCAGAGGACTGTGTGTTGGGGGCCGCGGTCTTGAAGTATTGATGTCGGGATTGAGAAATAGAGTGCGCGCGGATGGAGTCGGCTATCGGATGCCTATTGAGGATATTCGGGAGTCTCGAGCGAGAGCACTAGCGTCGGTATATCTGGTCTAATAGGCAGAGTAATATCGAGTGGGTCTAGGAATAACCCTCAACCAAGCCAAGAAGTAATGTACGAGGTGGTAATGCTAGCACGTTGTCGGCACAGATGTCGGCAGTGACTTCCGCAGCGGTAATGTTTGGGCGCCGAGCAGAGTGTCCGGCAGTAGAGGCTAGTTGCCCCAGCTAGTTGCCGGCGACTTTCAAATGCTGGAGATATTCCGGAGAGCTCCGAGATGTAGCTCCGAGGGTGGTAAAGAGGGTGGTAGTTGGAGTAAGTGCTGGTGTGTACGCTGACGCAGGGTAAGGTCTTACGAGGCGTGCAGCCAGCAAGATCTCGCCCCCTCCAGAGCAGGTGTCCTAGACAGACAGTGATCCAGATGTGGAATGTAAGACCCTGTTGACGGCGTGTCGCGGGTTCGGAGCACTACCGACTGGAATGCTAGCACGATGACGGAACGGCCCGGCTGGATATGTGGGGGTGGCAGCGGTCCTTGTCAGCGGAGAGAAATACAAAAGACAGTAATGTCAGGTTGATAAATTGTTCGTGCGCTCGCTCAAACAGGTTAAGAAGGTCAGGAGAAGGCTGGTCCGCGGCCTTCTTGGCCGGGTCAGACCGCACGTAAAGGAAGCTCTACTTCGGTTGAGTTCAGGAAGGCAGGTCTACAGAGAAGGTCGCAGAGCCCTGGGCCCTAGGACATCTAGATCCAGTGCTTTAGCCGGAAAGGACGGCACATCCACTAAGATCATCACGCTAGAGCAGCGGTGGTAAGACATGAGCGCTCCCCGACATGTCGGATGTGACTAGGATCAGATGATATCCGCTGTAGGAAACAACTGTCAGGATAGGGACATTGACCACATTGAGGGCAAGACAAATCACCATATGTTGTAGACGAGTGTATGGTTAATGTCCAAATGGTGGATCAATAGCATCAGTGCCATGCGTCCTGCATGAGGGGGTTGTCACTGAATTTTGCTTTAAATTACGATTTGATTCCGCTGAGTCTGACGGAGGGTTCGGTGCTGTGCTGGAAGAACCGGCGGCAAATGCGGAAGCAAATAAGGGTGCGTCGCTGGCTGGCCGCGTGGTTCGCACGAGAGACACAAGGAAAGGGCGGGTCAGTTGCTAACGGCGAACCGGCGCCTCTGCCGTCAGCTTTTCTAAACGTCGGCTTCTACGCTTTTTTCTGGTACGATCCAGGTTGGCTTCTAGGAAAGGGGAAATGTTCTTGGTACCTCAATTCAACCCCGGTGGCCGAGGGACGCTGAGTGCGGAAAAATGGATGGCTTGGATGGGCTTTGTGGACGATGGAACGCGGCTTGGAACGTCGACGCGACTGTGGAACGCGCAAGAAGGGCATGGCAACGGCGGTCAGCGAGAAAGGAAGGCAACAATAAGGGGCTAGACAGCCGCCCTTCAAACGGCATGAATGATAGAAGCCAACAGAAACAATTGTTAAGCACGAAGGAAGGAGACGAAAATAATAGGCGGGCGCCGCCAAGCCGTGCACCTTGTGTTGATCCTGGAACGGGCGGCAACTCGCTGTTGGTCGTTCAGCGGCATAGCCCGTGCACTAGCACCCATCAGTTCCCCCTCTCACTTACACCTGTTCTCCTTCCCTCCTTGGACTGTTCCCCGGCGGACTTCCTCCTTCCTCACCTCCTCCTTCCCCCGTGTTCCTCCTCCATCGCGCACTGCCTACCCGTCATCGCCCTCTGCGCCTGTATAATATCCCATCGCCCTCCTCTGTCAATCTCTCTGTCCCCTATCACCCAACACCGAGCCCGGCAGCATCGGCCCTCCCCTTTCAGGTTTAGCAGGACACCGTCGCCAGCGAGTCAGCATTCCACTTCAGGCAAGACACCATTCCAGCTGTCGTCGCTCCGTGCCGTTGTGTCCGGAATTGTCGCACCGCTGCAAGCCATCCCTCATCTGGATCAGGGACAGTCCCCCCCTGGCCTTGGGAGCGAGCCATTAATTCCATTGTCCTGTCTGCTGCCTAGGTGAGTCGGGTCTCTCCCTCTGGGGCGAGGGAGCAGACGAAGGCTCACAGCGTGATCCAGGACCCGAGCGCGGACTGTCTCGCCTCTCCGACATACCCTGACCCCATCCGCACCTGCTGTTCTCGTAGGGTGAACAAGGGCGAGAATATTTGTCTGTCTGCAAGCCACCTCGAGAGAAGCCGACAGCAGCCGCATTCCATCCGCGTCACTCATTCCTCGTTCCGCTCGTGCCCCAGATTCTCAGGATTTTTGAGATTCTCAGGGCCCCCTCGGGGCGTAGACTTCCGAAGAGAGCGGTCCTACAGACATCGCTTGTCCCGCACTCAGCCCGACACTAGTGCCCAGCCCGAGTTCCCTCTATTTGCAAACCAGATTGTATAATCGCGTGGTACCGCCCCATCGTGGAGTAACCAGCAAGAGCTCTTGGCACTTCGATTTCCGCTCACTGCCCATCTCGGGAAGGAAGAACGAGGGTTCTGGATTGTGTAAACTGCGAGTACTTATTCTGGGTAGTCTGAACGAGGTAACCCTCACTCGACTTCCGGCCCCGACCAACGACGAGCTAGACGGGCAGAGCAGCTTTTCACCTTCCTGCTATCGCTGATCAGACGACCACGCTCCCCACTCTCTTAAACCACGTCGTCGTCCGCAGCAACATCCATAACAATGATGGCCACCGCGACTTTCACGGCACTCCCCTCGCTGTCTGTACCGGCAATGCAGGCGATCAGCCTAAGCGGCTCCCCAGAAGCAGCGTTCTCTCTGCTGCTCTCCCCTTCTCAGTCCTGCGCCCCTGCTCCCTCCTGCCCAGACCCGAGCACATCACTCCCCTCTCCGCCTGCCCCCCCTGTCTATCCCCCAGCTTCCCGTGTCAATGCCCATTCCATCTCTAACCTTCCAGTCGACGATCAAACCCTCTTTGAAGAGTACGGTCTCGCGCCAGCCCGCCCAGCCGCCCAGCCTTTCGTACACCGAGCCTTCGAGGCACACGCCGCCCGTGCCCCCGAAGTGGTCGCAGTAGAGCACGCCTCTGCAGGCCAGCAAATCACCTACGGAGAGCTTGAACTGCGAGCCAACAGGCTTGCACGCCGGCTACGCGCACGGGGTGTCAGGCCCGGCAAGAGGGTCGTCATTCTCTGCCGGAGGAGCATTTCCTATGTGCTCGCTATCCTCGCTGCGCTCAAGGCCGGCGGGCAGTACGTGCCCCTAGACGCCCAAAGCATCACCGATGAGATGCTTGCTCACGTGCTCTCAGACTGTGCACCTCAGATGGTGCTCTGTATGCAACAGTACTCACAGCGGGAGCCAATGCTCGCTGATATCGTCCGGGGAAAGGTCATGGTCGTCGAGGAGGTGATGGAAGAGGACGAGCGTTTGCAAGCAGATGGGAGCAAAGTCAGGGACCTGAGCAAGAGGGACGATGGGGTGTACCTCATCTACACCAGTGGGACAACTGGCGTGCCCAAGGGGGTTGACGTCCGCCACCGGGGCGTTGGGAATGGTCAGTTCTTTTTCTGATGTCTTGGGCTCATACTAACCCCGTCCAACAGTCGTCTCCGGGCACCCAGGAAACGTCGGAATGAAGCCAGGTATGCGCGTCGCGCAACTCCTCAATATCGCCTTCGACATGTGCGCGTGGGAGGTTCTCGGGTCCATGTACAACGGTTGCACTCTTTGCCTCCGCGGCGACCGGTACGCGGATTGGGTTGCGGTTCTACGCACAGTTCATGTCGTCATCTCCACGCCATCTATCCTCCTGCGGCACGACCCTGCCCACTACCCGACTCTCAAGCACGTGATCGTGGGCGGCGAGCCGTGCCCCCAGTCCTTGGCCGATCGGTGGGCCGCATTCACGGAGTTCAACAACTGCTGTGGGCCAACAGAGATCAGCATCGCCAATACTGTCCAGAAGCATACGCCGGGATACCCACTGAGCATCGGTCGCCCTATCCCGAACACGAATGTTTACGTGCTCGGCAGGGATCCATCTGATACAACACCCGCCCGCATTGGCGAGATCGGGTGCATGTGGGTTGGCGGCGTTGGCGTGTCCCGCGGCTATCTCAACCTCGCCGACAAGACGGCAGAGCGCCTTTGCCCAGATCCGTTCGTCAGGTGGGATGGACATGGCCCTCGGCCGATGATGTTCAACACACATGATCTTGGGCGATGGAGGCCGGACGGCCAATTGGACCATTGCGGCCGTGCGGATGACCAGGTCAAGATCCGTGGTTTCCGTGTCGAACTCGACGGTGTTGCGACCGCCATGTCCACGCACCCTTTGGTGTCGACTGCTGTGGCGCTGAAGCTTGGCGAGCAGCTCTGGGGTTTCTACGCTCCCGCTTCCGTGCCGTCAAAGGAAGTGCGCCAGGCAACAGCACAGAAGCTTCCCGATTACGCGGTGCCCAGCCAATGGTTGGCATTAGACAAGTTGCCGCTCACCCCTAGAGGCAAGGTGGACAAGCACGTGCTGAGGAACATGGCCCGGCCGGAGATGCCCAGCAGCCAGAGTCTGCCGGACCTGCGCGCAGTGAAGAGGGAAGTCGCCGTCAACCCCATGGGAAGCCCTGCACTGAGCGATAGCTCATACGGGTCCCCAATTGAACAATGATTTTACAGGACAATAACGGAACACTCTTTATCTCTCTTTTCACTTCGGTTCATTTGTTGTTTCACTCATTAATTTCCTATACCCCGCAACTCTCTCTCTTCTCATGCCAAGCACTGTACACCGCTCACATTCGTTATCATTACGTACGCGCCCGGACTGTCATTTCCTCCTGTACGGTACACTCCTGCGTCCCCCTCATTTCCTCTACGCACTCTCACTCTCCCTCACTGCTCAACACCTCAATCACCCACTCTCACTGCGGATCCAACCCCTCCATCCCTCAAAACCTTTCGTGTAGATATCTTTAAATTTCGCTTCTGGGCATTGGATGCATTAGTATTGGTTGGTAGCATCGACGGACTCAAGAGTAATCACAATATTGTACCTATCTATCTTCTTTGCAAGGTGCCCACCAGAACAGGGTGTCTTCACCGGCCCGGCCAAGGTGGAGGTGTGTTCGCCTGACGACCGTCACGTTAACTAGCCATGGCTAACCAGCGCAAACAGCTCAGCCATTCACATTTCGACCAAGCATGACCAACCCGCGAGTAGTTGTGCTTGCCAAGGTTTGCGAGTTTTACCCACAGGACAGACTCTGACTGACGTCACGTTGTCAATCTACGGCAGCTCGTTGTCAAGCCCGAGAAGCGTGCGGTGTTCGAGCCTGCGTGGGCTGAGTTCATGGCCGGTGTGAAGAAGTTTGAGCCGAAGTGTCTCATCTTCAACGTCGCAGTCTCTGAGGACGGGTTGACGTATTGGATGTACGAGGAGTGAGTGGTCTGCGACCGTAATGAGCGGGCTGCCATGTTAATGATGGGGACACTGTGTAGGTACATGAATAAGGTGGGACTTGACGAGTGAGTCGACTTGGCCAGCTGGATTGTGATAACTCTTGACCTGTGTTGCAGACATGAAGCAAGTGACCATTATCGCAAGTTCAACGCCGTTGCTGGAGATTCGGGGGAGGCGTTCTACGCCGAGGTGGGTGCCTCACCGTCCTCACATTTGAGATGCTCTGACCGTATCTTGTGTGCACAGAAGCCAGAGGTTACTAAGACGTGGAAACCGTACTTTTAATGGGTGTGGAGGGCTGTGAACAGATACAGGACAGAGGTGTAAGGTCAGGGATGACAAGTTGGGGTGTGATGTCAAGACGTTTGCGTAACAAATGAGATTATTGCTGAAATCATCGAGCGCCTATTTATACATACTGCTATTTGCGGTGTTACTTGGCGTGTGGTGGTCAGGCGAGAGGATGGGCTTGGTGAGTTGTAATTTGGAGACTCCAAGTTCAGGGCAGCATTCTATTTATTTGTTCGAGTGGCAGTTCGCATCCGCCTCCGCTCGCAGCAGTACTCTAGTGTCCTGGTAAAGCAGCTCAGCCTGGTGCTCAACATACAGGATCTCTCGCTCATCCCACTAACTGTAGAGTCATCGCCTCGGTCCCGGGCACCTGGGCACTCGACTCGCAGTGTCTCTTCGAACGGACGATTCTTTCTGGGCGTCGCCCGTCAACTCGCCAGTCGTCGAACGCGATCAGGGGCAAGCGCAGAGCCAGAGCGATCAGACCGGAAGTGCGGGAAAGGCAATGTCCAGTGCTGCGGCTACTGGTGCTGGAGGTCCCGGGGTTGATGGGGATGCGGGATCTGTCATAGGTGGAAACGACGAGGGGAAGATGTTGGCCGAGGCGCTCGCAACGGTCAAGATACAGCTAGTTCAGATGAAGCGGTGTTTGGTACGTACATTGTGCAGAACTGAGTGTAGGATATGCTCATCCAATCCATGTAGGAAAATGACCAGCTGATGGATGCGCTCAAGAGCGCAAGTACTATGCTGAGTGAGCTCAGGACAAGCAGCTTGTCCCCTAAGCAATACTATGAGCTTTGTGTGTCCCATATCCTCCTTCTCTCTAATGGCCGCACTAATGCGAAAGCAGATATGGCCGTATTCGATGCGCTGCGACATCTGTCTAACTACCTGTTCGATGCGCACGTCTCGGGCAAGCACCACCTTGCGGACCTATACGAGCTCGTCCAATACGCAGGCAACATCGTCCCCCGGCTCTATCTCATGATCACGGTTGGGAGCGTATACATGAGCATTCCCGACGCGCCGGTGAAGGAGATCATGAAGGATATGATGGAGATGAGCAGGGGTGTGCAGCATCCCACACGTGGTCTGTTCTTGAGACATTATCTGAGTGGGCAGACGAGGGATCACCTTCCTATCGGGAACTCAGAGGGGTCAGTGCTTTAACATAACGTGTTGAAATGAATTAGACTGTTACAGGCCGGAAGGGAACCTGAAAGACTCGATTGGGTTTGTACTCACGAACTTCATCGAGATGAACAAGCTGTGGGTGAGACTGCAGCATCAGGGTCACTCGAGGGAGCGTGAGAAGCGCGAGGTGGAGCGAAAAGAGCTGCGGATCCTCGTCGGCACCAACCTTGTCCGGCTTTCGCAGCTCGAGGGCGTCGAGTTCGAGACGTATCGCACAACCATCCTGCCCAGCATACTCGAGCAAGTCGTCAACTGCAAGGATGTGATCGCCCAGGAGTACCTGATGGAGGTCGTCATACAAGTGTTCACGGACGAGTTCCATCTGCATACTCTGAGCCCCTTCCTCTCCGCCGTCGCCCAGCTCCACCCGAAGGTGAACATAAAGGGCATCGTGATCGCCCTGATCGACAGGCTCGCGTCGTACGCTGCCAGGGAAGCGGAGAACGAGGACCCGGCAGAGACGAAGCGGCAGGAAGAGGAGGCAGCGCACCGGCTAGCTGAGAAGGTCAAGGACCAGAAGGCACGGGCGCGTGCTGCGTTAGAGGCGAACGGACATGGATCTCCCCCTCCGGCTGTACAGGCAGGCGCGAACGAGTGGGGCGGCAGCGCTGTCAACCCTGAGGAGAAGCCGCAACCTGCACCTCCGGTCAATGGCTCCGACGCCAAGAGCGACAAGGGTAAGGAGAAGGAAGCTCCGCCGGCTGCAACACGCAAGTTCCGCGGTATACCAGAGGACGTCAAGCTCTTCGAAGTGTTCTGGGAACAGATCGTGAACCTCATCAAGGCCCGGCCGGATCTGTCCATCACCGATATCACAGCACTTCTTGTGTCCCTGATCAACTTGAGCTTGTCATGCTACCCGGACCGGTTGGAGTACGTGGACCAGATCCTGGGCTTTGCCAGGGGGAAAATGCAAGAGTTCCAGGAGAGGTGCGTATCTTCTCAGATTACAGGTGCCCTGACTGACAAAAATATCCAGCCCGGACCTGCTCATCCCAGCAACGACAGCCAACCTGCTGTCCCTGCTCCTCGCGCCGATCAATTCTTACCAGAGCGTGCTCACCCTCCTCGCTCTACCGAACTACACTTCCCTGCTCCAACTGCAAGCCTTCACCACCAGGCGCGCGATCGCCCACGCCATCGTCTCCTCCGTACTGAAGAACGAAACCGTGATCGACACGCCCGAAGACGTGGCAGGCGTGCTCCAACTGTGTCACGTGCTTGTCAAAACCCAGCCCGACGCGATACCCTCTCCACTAGCCAAGCAGATGGGTGCAGGCAGGCAGGGTGTAGACGTTGAGGAGATGGCGGAGGAACAGGGATGGGTAGCCAGGATGGTACACCTCTTCAGGGCGGAGGACCTGGATGTGCAGTTCGAGGTGCGTCCGCTTGTGCTCCACGTGGGGTGGATGTTGATATCTGGGTATAGCTATTGCAGGAGGCAAGGCGTCATTTCAGTGAGGGTGCGGAGAGGATACGCTTCACTTTCCCTCCGCTGATCAATGCTGCTATCAAACTGGCACGGCGGTACAAGCGAGTCGAAGGCGAAGTGCGTGTATTCCTCGTGCGGCGGACTTGACCCCGGCTTACAATTATCTGCAGGACGACGAGTGGACGAACAAGCTTACGAGTCTGTTCAAGTTCATCCACCAGATCATTTCTGTCATGTACAACCGCGTGGAAGCGTCTGACATCTCCCTCCGCCTCTTCCTCCTCGCCGCCCAGGTCTCGGACGACTGTGGCTTCGAGGAGCTCACGTACGAGTTCTACGTCCAGGCGTTCACGATATATGAAGAGTCTATTTCTGAGAGCCGGGCGCAGCTGCAGGCTATCACCCTCGTCATGGGCACACTACAGCAATCCAAGGTCTTCAGCACGGACAACTACGACACGCTCATCACCAAGGCTGCGCTGCACGGCGCCAAGCTGCTGAAGAAGAGTCATCAGGCGACAGCTGTCGGGCTTGCTAGCCATCTCTGGTGGCAGGCAGACATACCTAAGCATGCGGAGGAAGAGGGCGAATCACATGAACCGCTCCGGGACGGGAATCGCGTGCTTGAATGTCTGCAGAAGACGCTGAGGATTGCGAGCTCATGTTATGAGGAGATCATCAGCGTACAGCTGTATGTCCAGGCATTGGATCAGTATCTTTACTATTTTGACCGCGATGTGGAGGCTGTGAGCCTGGTTTTTTTTATCTGCGATGGTGCTGTGCTAACAACTCTGACTCTGTAGGTTACACCGAAGTATATCAACTCACTTGTGGAGCTGATTACGTCCAACATCGACGCCATCAGCTCCTCCGACTTCCATCCTACGTCCCGCGCACCACCTGGCTTGATCGAAGGCGTCCACACCGCCGATATGATCACGCGCCATTTCCGCAACACGTTACTATACGTGCGTTCAAAGAAGGAATCGGGCGTCGGACGCTGGAGCGAGGTAGACATCGCTGGTGCTTTGCTTAAAATGAACGTTGCCCAGTAGAGCCTACCTGACGACGATGTGTTTATGTTGTTTGTTTCCTATTGTACCTTATACGGAGCCCTCTAGGTTTGGTAAATATACCTTCGGCTTTTCTATCCTTTTAAGAGTGAAAAGATGACTGGTTAACATGAAGCACACCCACAAAATGACAGCTGCCATTGAATTCATGGCAGAATACTTTGCTTTAGAATAACGGATTATTTAATGAAAGCTTCTAGCAGGTGCTTTCATCAGGGCGAGTCATCGTCGAGAACGTACAAGGCCCAGAATTGCTGACCAATCCACCGGAGTTGTTAGTTTCTCCGAGGCTACACAGTTCAAATGCTCCCGGTTGGTGTAAGGGGAGGCCATCGTCCATATGGTCTTGTAGACTCACATCATTCAGCGGTTTACACCTTGCACACGTACCTTACAGAGCCAACAATGGCATCTTTATTCTGGGGAGCTTCACCATTTGATGATCTAGTAGGTGGGTGCAGCGTATAATTGTGTCGTGCGAGAATGAAGGACTGACAAGGTGACAGACAAAGCAACATCGGAGCTCTTACCTGCTGGAGGATCGGACATTGCGCTCAATCTCGAGATATGCGACCAGATTAGGTCGAAGAGCACGACGCTCATTCTTGCTATGAGGGCCATAAAACGCCGCATAGATCACAAGAACCCTAATGTCCAGTTATTGGCTCTTGAGGTAAGTGGTTATTGAAGTTCGATCAGAACTCAAGACTCACAACGCGTCACAGTTAGCTGACACATGCACCAAAAATGGGGGAGACACCTTCCTCCAGCAGGTCGCGTCAAGAGAGTTCATGGATGATCTCGCATCCATTGTGAAGTCGCCTGGGGTGAACCGGGATGTGAAGCTGAAGATTCTGAGACTGGTGCAGACCTGGGCGCGGGGCATGGAGGGTAACTCGGAGCTGAAGTACGTTGGCGAAACGTACAAGACTCTGAAATCATCTGGTGCGATATTATGCGTATCATGATGACCTTTGCATTGACAATGCTCAGGTTTCGAATTCCCACCGGAATCACCCCGTGAGGCAGCTGCGACTCTGTTTCAGACCGCGACTGCGCCCATGTGGGGAGACTCCGACCGTTGTATGCGTTGCCGCGAGCCGTTTACGATGACATTCCGCAAGCATCATTGTCGTAATTGCGGACAGACGTTCTGTCAAAGTTGTTCATCCTACACCTCGCGTCTGGATCATTTTGGCATCAACACCGAAGTACGTGTCTGTAAAGACTGTCACGACAAGATGACAAGGAAGACGGTTGAGGCCGCTAAGAGGGAGTTGAAGAAAGATGGTATCGGGAGCAGAAATTGGGTGAAGAGAGAGCGAGAGAGAGCAGACAAGGACCTGGAGCGGGCTATTGCACTCAGTTTGGCAGAAGCTAAGAACATGGGACACGTGGATGACGGCGCAATGTTCCGGCCTGCTGTATTGTCCAAAGGGTATCCGCCACCGACGACGATTGCGGAAGAGGACGATCCGGATTTGGCCGCAGCCATCAAAGCTTCCTTGGAAGAATACCAGACGATGAACGTACCCAGCGCGCCGTCGCCCATGCCCGAGCGGCCCGGCACAGTGGAATCCTACTTTCCGGTAAGCAGTTGTCCCATCAAGGATATCCTTGTATTCTGACGCTCTTGTAGCAACCCCCACCCGCCTTGCCTAACTACGATCTGATGGATTCGGAAACACTTACTATCCTTGACTTCTCGGAAGCCATCGAAAACGGTGCTTCGGCCAGAAGTGTTGATGGATTGCACAATCGAGCAGATAGACTAAGACCGAGGCTTGTGCGGAGTTTGGATGATACCGAACGAAAAGAACGTGAGTACCATGCGGTCTTACATTGGGAGCTACGAGTTAACGGTTTGTTTAGAAATATTGACGGATATGCACGGAAAGCTCGCTGAGGTTGTCAAGCTCTTCGACAGCCATCTGAATGCTCAATTGGAACGGCGTGCAAGCTCGTACCATCAGCCACAGCGAACCCAGACTTACGCCTCTTTTGCGCCTCAACGGACTGTCTCTCCTCAGGCATCATATGGACCACCCCAGCAGCAGCAATATGCCCCGCCTCAGCAACAACCTTATGCACCCCAGCAGACATACGCTGTGCCTCAACAGCAAGCCTATGCACCACCACCTTTAACATACCAGGAGCCTGTGCAGCCGCCTCAACAGTCATACGTGCAACAACCACCGCAACAAATGTACACCTCACCTCCCAAACAACAACAGCCTATCTCAACCGTCCAGGCATATCCCTCTTCACCGGTCCGTTCCAACACCGGCATAATATCGCCCCCTCCCATGCAAGCATCCACTTCACCGGTCATGCAAATGTCGGTGCCGCAAAGCGCGCTGGTTTCTGCTCAAGCGCAGCCCGTGCCAGCTGCTCCACCTGCTGTTACATACCAAGCCCCTGTCTCTCAGCCTCACCCATATATGAATCCTCCAGCTCCTCCGTCTAGGCAACAGTCGTATGTTGCACCTGCAGCCCCGGCCCAGCCCGCATACGTGACTTCCCCTGCTCCATCTCCTACTCAACAGTTACCTCCTCAGCTAATGCAAGCCCAACCTCCACCACAACAATATGCACTTGCTCAGGCCCCTCCCATCCAAGTGCAACCTGTGCAACCGCCGCCTCAGCAGCTTCCTGCTTTCCCACAGGCACCTCAGAATGTGTTCCCGTCTGCCTTCCCAGAAGCGCCAAAGGAGCTTCCGAATTCATTCGCATACGCACCTGTAAGGGAAGAGAAGGAGGTAGCCTTGATTGAGTTGTAGTGTACGTTTCGCGAGCGTGTTGTTTGATGTTTAATAGAGGCGTGATCCTGTTGTCATGCTCTATGTATATTTAGCACCTGCTATTGGATAGTGTCTATTTATGTTAAATGCAGTACTGCATGCCAATGAGTCTCAGGCGGAAACGAGTGAGAGTTTTGCTGCCCCGGTGACGACCTGATCTAAAGCCTGTCCCACCGAAGCGTCTTTCTCCTTTGCGTTGGGCTCTGCTTCAGCTTCGATCGCTTCCAATCGCTCTTGCCAGACACGGGTAATCTATAACAGAGTCGGTTATTGTTATACAAGTTACACAATTCACGAACATCGTATTTGTAAATCCAGCCTGTAGACGCAGCGGCGTTGTTCTTTTCCAAGCGTGTCCGCACAAGATCACTGGCGCTCAACGGTGGTTCTGCCGCAAAGACCTCCTTATTAACGTTTCCATAAGTATTCAATATGTGGAACTGCGACGTGCGTCAGTTTGTACTATGTAGTATAACCCCGTGATGATACTCACCAGCTTCTCGTAATGAGGTCCGCGAATCTGGTCAAACACTTCAAGCGCCCACGTTTGCGTCTTGTTGTGCGAACGCGCGTATCCGAGCGTTGTCATAAGGATGTATGCGTCTTCAAGTGCGAATGCTGCGCCAGCACCGAAGGCGCCAGACAAGGCTATCCTGAAGGTTAGCAGGATCCTCTCTCACAACGTGAGAACGTACGATGCGCTGCGTCCCCGATCAGTGCCATACATCCGTTATGAATGACTGACTCGAGACGCGGGCCGCCGAAAAGAGCGAATGATAGCCATGATTTTGGTGCTGCAACTATGGCACGGATCGTCGGGTTGTATTCCTGATGTATTCGTGAGTGAAGAATGAAGTGTGGTCATCAAGACACGGACATCGTAATGTTTGACAACCTGCTCCGGCGTTGCGTCCTGACCCCAGCTGGCCTTGCTAGCATCCTCATCTGACTCGAGAGCGCGTGTTGCAATCTCAAACTTGCCTTCGTCAAGCGGATTCGTGTACACATGCGTAGTTGGTGTATGCCAGAAACAAGCACAAGGAGGAATGTCTGGTACACGAGCGACATCCGCCTGGGGGATGATGACGCGATACGCGACCTTCCCAGAATATGACAGTTTGTGATTGGGAAATGCATGCTGGCGAACGACCTGCTCCAACAGTTGAGAGGTCATGTCGTTAAAGGGGCAGACAAGGACACACTGAACGGATTCCATCAGCGCCAACAAGCAAATCGATGTCACTGCTCGTCGTCCCGTCCTCAAATTTGAGTGCCAGACCAGCGTCGCTCTCTCGGATTTCCACCAGCCTCTTATTCAGCTGAATGAGGCCGTCTGGTACCTCCTTCAGCAACGCGTTCTGCAGCTTGTAACGCTCCACTCGAGCATACGGCGGGCCGACTGGAGAGTCTTTCTGAAGTCTTTCGCTGAGGAGTTCGCCCGTGGTACCGTCGCTTGCCAACCCATTAACATGGCCCGGAGGCGTGAACGGGACCTGCACTCACCGATGTTGGAGATCGATCACGCTGTCATCGCGCGTCTTGAAGAACGCGTCCAGGTTCTTGTCTGCTCCGTACCACTTCAACAGTCTCCAAGTGTTCTCATTGATGCCGATGCCCTGGTACAGGTTCTGTAAATGACCCCGGTGCCTATTGATGATAGGACTCACAGCGCCGATCTCTTTAAGAACCCGCGCTTGCTCAAACACTTTCAACTCGACATCTGGTAGACGACCAAGTGCAATGGCAGCGGCTAGTCCAGCGGGACCTGCACCAATGATCGCAATTCGAAGGGGGGCACTTGATCCAGCTGCAGAATCGCCCATGACGTGGACGCTCAACAACCATCGAAACACCGATAAGATTTAAGAGAATCTACCTCCCGGGTTCGCTTAGTACACAGACGATAGTCAGACATTCGGTCAGTTTAATAAGCTGCTCAAACAAGCAAGGTATCCGCTGAAAGCGAAGGGATTTCGTGCTGAAGTTGATAGGAGATTGCGAGGCAGAACGCAAAGATCGCGTCATGCAGAACGCGACAGTTAGAAGTCTATGAGCGGTATCTGGCAATATACATCGAAGATGAGTTGCCCATTGTTTGAAGGGGCGAGAGAGCGCATATAAGGTAGACAACCTCAAGTATTTATGAAGGACTCATCAGCCATGTAGAGCTCGCACATAGAAGACCGGTGTCGTAAAGTCAGAAACGCGTCAAAACTGGGGCGACACGTGACTGCTGCACGAGTGTCTTCATTGGCCCCGCGTCTTGATCACAAATTTGTATTATTGTCCGATTATTCCTGGCATACCCTGGCACCTTATTTCACAATCTCCGTCTTCGTATTGGGAATATACTTTGTCCGTTAATAATGGATGACTTGCGGGGTGAGAAGAATGCGGCCCTAAGCCTCCGCTGCAGGCAGATCGCGTCTCCCTTCGCCATACGCACGCCATTCCATCTTCTGTCAGTATCACTGTTGGGTCAATCATGACATCTAAGCATTAATGTCATCTTTCTCGGGAAGAATGGCGACTCGTACAAGGGAAGACGTCTACGTGTCTGATTGGTCGCTTGCTTTGCTATCGTCGCTGGAGATTTACCGAGACAGCTGCAGAAGCCATTTCCCGCTCCGTATCCTCAGGAGCTGGCTAAACGAGCATGAAATATCGGATCGAACTATCTGGATTGGCTTCGTCTCTTGTTCTACTACGTCTGACTCGCTGTCATGCCTGGTCTACTCCGACAGGAACCTGAACAAGGCTACCATATCTTCGAACGGCCTATTGAAAGCGTAGCCGTAGTTGGTGCTGGACCATCCGGTGTGCGTAAAACTGATTTACTCTTCATTCTCTCTATATTTCAATCTGATAAATTGCTTACAGCTCCCCGCCGCTCGTCATTTGCACGAGGCTGGTTTCCGGGTCCGGGTTTTCGAACGCCAGCCGTATGCAGGAGGGACTTGGACGTTCGAGCCGGACCTACCTCTGCAGCCCAAGTATCCCTCTGTCCCGCCCTCTATTGGCGATTTCGTTCCTTCTCTACCACCGGAGAATGCCGAACATCTACCGTTTGAGAAGGTGCAGAAAGACGAGAACAGCGAGGAGAGGAAGGAGTTCTCTCCCCCAAATCCGGTGTACCAGTCCTTGACAAACAACGTGCCAACACCATGCATGGAATTCAAAGACTTCCCGTGGCCAGAGGGAACAGTACGATATTGGTGTGTCATCCCGATTCCTCTGCTGATTTCGGATCACAGGAATGGCACGTAAGCCACACGGACATATCCAAGTACATCCAGTCGTACGCGGTCCACTTCGGGCTAAACGAGTTCACCTCCTACCGCACGCGGGTCGAGAACATCTCCCAGCTAGATCCTCCTCCGGGTCAGTCACAGCCACGCTGGCGACTGACACTGCGCCGCGTGGAGGACGCGCCGGCCGATTCGGCCAAATCGACCTGGTGGACGGAGGACTTTGACGCTGTCGTTGTCGCGTCAGGACATTATGGCGCGCCGTTCATTCCGAAAATCGAGGGAGTAGAGGCGTGGGCTGAGAGGTGGAAGGACGACATCATCCATTCCCGCGCATACAGGAGCGCGGAGGATTATACTGGCAAGGTGCCGTGCCTATCCATCTGCTCTCTAATGACTACCTGATACTGGGACTAGACCGTCCTGATCGTCGGCACTGGCACAAGTGGCGTCGACATCGCCCGTGATATCTCTCCTCACGTGACAAAGATCTACCAAGTGCGGAGGAACCAACTCCACGGGCCGGATCACTACCAGCGCCAACGCTCTTTCCAGCTCAAGATGCTGCCTGCGAACGGAGAACACTTACCTGAGATCAAACGTTTCCTCCCGCTAAGCGGCGCGGAGAAGGACTTGAGTGAATGTAGGGTTGAGTGTACGGATGGGCGGGTCGTGGGCGGGTTTGATAAGATCATCTTTGCCACTGGGTTGGTGGTCCTCTTGCGCCCTTCAGGCACCATTGACCAAGTACTCCAGATATCAATACTCAGTACCCTTCCTATCCGACTACCACCTCGACCCGAACACCTTGCCCCACTCCCCACACCAAGCGCCCGACCGCGTCTTAGTCACCTCCGGAGCAGGAGTATCCAACCTCCTCCGAGACGTGTTCTACATCCCCCAGCCGACGCTCGCCTTCCTGGGCCTGTCGATCAACACTGCCACATTCTCGTTCTTCGAGTTCCAGGGGCTGGCGATCACTAGGGTTTGGCAGGGCTGGGCGAGGCTGCCGGACGAGCGGGGAAGGAGGAAGGAGTATGAGAGACTGGTGGAGGCGAAAGGCGGAGGAAGGTTTATGCATGTTCGTAACTCCCACTTCCGGCCTTGGGCGCGAGATGCTGATTGTAATTGTGCTGTGTTGGTGATACAGCTCATGGGGCATGAGAACGAAGTCGCCTATGTAAGGGAGACGGTGGATTGGCTGAACGCTGACGGGGCACGGGTCGGTGCTCCGCTCATCGAGGGGCATAGCGAGCGTTGGCTAGAGGTGAAGAAGAGCTTGTTCGCGGCGTTGCTGAAGAAGGCCGGACTGGACCCGAAGGAGTTTGGGGTGAAGGATGATGGGGAGCCGCCTGCCAGGGTGGGGGATGGAGTGGATGGCATGATTGATCCGGGAGAGGTGAAGGTACAGAAGGACGTCGAGCGAGGAGGAAAGCCGGAGAGCATTGAACATGCTGCCGCGGCGAACGGCGCACCAGTGACGGTGGCGGCGGCGGCTTAGACTTCCAAGCTGATCGAGTTCATTCCTGATAACTTCTTGATGCGTATTCGAATAAATTGAGATTTAGAGGGAAAATGTTATAACTTGACAGACATGAGTCGAATAGACGAGTGAGACGGCAACAACGACGGTTACTACCTCGCACAGTGGTAGATAATTTGTGGCAGGATCATCCCGCTGTGGACGAAATGCGCTTATGGTAGGGGCAAAATAATCCGATAATCGGAACAGATCTCATCTCTGTCCTAAATATTTTCCCCCAGCACCGAGCCCATTTCCAGCGGTGAAGAAATTGCGGCGACGAGAGGCGCGCCAAAGCTTCGTGCCCTAAAATGTTTCTTTCATGACGGGAGTGGGGGACCCCGGGTCAGGGTAGTTCAAGGGTGCAATTCCGTGCCGCCGGATTCGAAAGTCGATTGGCTCCGTGTGGGCTAGAGATCGGGGGACATGAGGGAGGTGTGTCGTGTGTGGTGATGGCTGATTGTCTCTGTCAATGTCTGATCCTGTGCACCCGACATGAACGGCTTGGCCCCGCCTTCCTTCTTTGCCTCGAGCTGACTAGCATATGCATGTCTTTGAATACGGAAGCAGCGGGGGAAGATGAAGGAATTCATGGGCAGCGTGACAAGGGATCGATGGACATATCTATCAGTGGTTGCACTAGCCGCTACTGGACTCTGCTTTCCTGTTCTAGTTCTGTTACTTGGGGATAGCGGTGTTCGACCTTGGAGAGTTCCGATACATTCTAGTGACGAAGGCCGATTGCGACAATTGCGGATCATCTTATCACGCACAGCGAACACCCACCCTCATTAGCACTTCGTTCACCTGACATCACCTTACCGCGTCCCTCTCTCCCTTCTTACCAAAATGGCATCCAAGCACGTACCAAAACCTTCCTGGACAGGCGGTCCTCCTCTCAGCTCCCAAGCACCCCCATATGCCCAATTCAGCCCTTCCCCCTCTTCCCCCGAGTCGAGATCATCCTCTCCACCACCGTTTCTCCTCCCGCTCCGGCTCCCATTCACCCGCTCCTATCTGCGTAAACGGCGAACTCCGCTCCCGGCCGTCCTTGCGGGGCTGACAATTCTCACCCTGTCTGTGCTGCTCTTCCTGGTTATGAGCAGGCGGTGTGAGCCCGTCCAGGTCGTTCAGCAGGTAGGGGTAAGACAGGGTGTGGACGACAGGTTCGCGACGAGGAACTGGGTTAGGGGACCACCTAAACCGCGGTTTGCTGGTGAGTCTCACGCACAAGTGCGTGGGATACAACTGATTCACGGATCGGATAGACAACCTCAAGCCTGATGTCAAGTACATCTCTACCTTTGTCTCCTCTGGGTGGAGTATGTCCTCCCAACTCGTGTAGTGCTTCCCTGACCTGTAGCAGCGAACGACGTGATGACGTACGGCAACCTGCTCTACCTCTCCCTCCTAACACAACGCGTCCCCGTCCTAGGCCCCTTCGTCCCCTCCCACCTCTCCTCTACAGCAGGATACATCCCCTTCTCCGACGTGTTCGACATTGCCCATCTAGCAAAGTCAATGAACGCCCCTGTGCTGGAATGGGGTGACCTGAAGAGTGTCGAAGAGGGGGTGGAGGAAGAACTTGGATGTTGGAGTGCCTGGATGGCCACGAGTAGGGAGATCAAGGACCCAAGATGGAGCTGGATCCCCGGTGTCTTCGGGCTAGACATAAGCTATACCCCGCTCCCCTGTACGTCCCTTCCCATACGTGCTCAAACACCAGCTAACGGAATCCAGACGACCACAAGATGTTCCCCGAGCAGGACAACGAGCCCCACCTAAAATACGGGAAACTGATGCAGCTCTCCTTCCCCTCCGAGCGGGCGCGCGCGCTCTCCCTCTCCTCTCCCCGCGGTACAAAATCCGGGAACCCGCTGCTCCCGTCCGACCACCTCCTGTGCTTCGACCAGATGTATGCTATCTCCCTCGAACAGCAGTGGGAGTGGTTTGTGGATTCGAGCCCTGTTTGGAGGTTCGTAGGCAGGCATATGCGCTGGAACAAGAATGCCGAGGCTTTGGCGAAGAACTATCTCGCAAAACACTGGGGAGTGCCGCAGGGCGGGCTCTTACCTCCCGTACGTGCCCCCAACGCACCCTTCGGGCCGCGCTAACGTGAGTATATATATATATATGTAGTACATCTCCGTCCATGCCCGGAGAGGGGACTTCACCGCCCACTGTCAGTGGATGCACCAAACCGGCTCCTCCTGCCTCCCTTCCCTCACCCAACTCCAACGGCGTGTCTCCGAAGTAAGCGAAAAGCTCGCACTGAAAGGCGTCCATACGGACCGAGTACTCGTCACGAGTGACGAGAAGGACGAGACTTGGTGGGCTGGGGTGGGCCAGTTGGGGTATACGTGGGTGGACCATAAAGCTCTGAGAACGGACGAGCTGTATGGGGAATGGTACGTCCCCCTCCCCTTCACACCATCACGCAACTCAACTCACTACTGACTGACAGGTACTCACCCCTCCTGGACGCGATATTCCATTCCCTTGCAGCGGGGTTCGTGGGCACTGACCAGAGTACGATGTCACTCCTTGCGGCTCGGAGAGTGGAGGAATGGAACGATGGCCCGGTGGGGTTCTTGTTGTGGCAGGGAGTTCCGGAGGGGGAGCTGTGAGAGGGAACGCTCCATCGGGTGTGCCGGGGAGTGGGAAGGGGCTGCCTACAACGTTGCGTATGCGTCTATTCAGACCTGTCTGAAATAGGTGAACAAGAGTATCGCAGTAGGGCTAGAAGGCGCTCAAATTCCAGCCTCTGTGTTGATGACGCTTGATGTTGCCCAGCGCAGGCAAGCGATGTACTTTCTTACCACGACCTTTGACCACAACAGTGAAATTCAAGTTCTCATATGTCCACCAACAACGATGTATCAACTGCCAGCGAGTACAGCACAGTGTCAGTAAATCAAGTGTTGCTCGCAGCTGAAGGCACGCTATCTTGTGCAATCAAAGGTCCTGAGAAGAACTTGAGGAAGAAGAAGAGTGCGCCGGTCTGCAGCTCCAGCGGGACGTTGTCCACTGTGTCGTTGGCACCCAGTGGCAGACAGCAAGCAGAGTCAACAGCGCAGCGCTAGATCGCCCCTCGAAGGAGCCAGATGCTGTTCTTCGCTGGCGTGTCTCTGACAAGGAGTATGGATACATTCGGGTTGTGAGGTTTGGGTGGAGAGGACTTCAATTCGCGGCTGCTGGGCGGGCAGCAGAGAGAGGAGCGTGGAGGGCTCAGTCTGTCGGCGGACATCGGGCTGTCTGCGATGGAGGAGGGACGCGCTGATGAGGTGAGCACTGTCAGCTCAGCAGCTCACGATGAATTGGCATCATGATGCTCGCTGTAAGTAGCCATGCCCCACCACCATCCCTGCAATTGGTCATAGATGTCCTTCATCAGCTGGTGTCCGTCTTGAAGGACCTTGCGGCCAATAACTTCGTATGCCTCGGATTTAGCAGCTCCACGACGAAGCCCTTCCTCCCAGCACTCGCGGTAATGATGTTTGCTTTCGATAGTGGGGGAAGAAATTGGCTTAGGCACCTGGTCATTGGATGGGCCAGAGACGGATTCGAGATGAATTCCTTGCTGGAAGCAGCGCCTGAAATACGCCAGCTCCTCTTCAGAGACAGCAGGGGCCGTCTCTATCCCGTCATCGACCTCAGTGATGACGCACCGTTTTGCTTGGGTCACATAAGCTGGAGGAGCCTCGTATGCCGGCGGGGCATAGTGAATCACATCACCGTCTATTGCGGCTTGGGATTTCGCAACCTCTTCTGCCACCACAGCGAGGAAGAGGTCAACAACCGCTTGGGACTCATCGATCCTTGTGTGGACCCGTCGGCGAGACTGCGTATGTGAAGTGTCATTTTGATCCTTGCTGTTGCTGGCAAGCATCACGGGGTTATCTGCTTAGCGCCTTCAGTAGGTGACAGAATACAGCGAGCTGACAATGGCGCACCAGATCGTGCATGGGGTAGAAATTCTTCTTCTGTGATTTGACGGATTGTAGCGGGACTCGATTTTGCGTTGAACCACCATGCTAATAAGATCAGCTCAGAAAGTGAGGCGGAGATGCTCACGTAAAAAACCACAATGAGGTGTGTTGGATTCTACGAGAGTAACTTGATCCCTGCACAGCGCGGAATGATTGAATATTCAAGATTGTCTGGATTACAGAAGGTTGGTCGTCGAGATGGAGGGGAAGTGGGCCTTCGGGGTGCAGTGTCCACGCAATTGCAGTCCTATTATGGTGCTATCATGTGACCACTCCCCGGGAAATCAAATCGCGTGTCTCAGGGATGCCCAAATCCGGTCAATGTTGCACCCACTGTTTTGTTGTGCTGTTGAGAACTTGGCGACTCCGCCAGGCGCCTACATTGAGATCGACTCTGTTGCAATCTCGAATATTTGACTAATGATACATGGGCGTCTCACAGGATAGCGAGATTTAGTGGCCTAAGTGTCCCGGCGTCCAGGAACAAACAATAACAGTGAAGGTAGAGAAAAACGTTCCTTCTAAGTAAATAAATCAGTACAGTAATACATCGCTCCCGAACTTCCTTGCATCTCTGTTCCCTGTCCTAAGGTTCCATCAACATCAGTCTTGTCGTTGGCGCGTCTTGCCAGTCGTGCGCCCTTCGTTCTCCGAGCAGGCTCATCGTACTCCGTTCCGTGCCGATTACGGCCGCGCCCATTGAGTGAAACGCAGCGTCCAAGATAGGTCCATACCTTCAAAAGCGATGATTAATTCTATGTAACAAGATAGGTGAAGACAGTGCTCACCATTTCCCGAACCGTGCTTCTGTTCTGAAGGCGGTATGGTCGATGTGCGTCCAGCCCAACTCGACAATTGCCGCCCACCAACCAGGATCAGTTTCGTCGCTCGTCACAAGCACGTGGTCCGTCACGATCCCCTTCTCTGCGAGGGCGATTTGCATTTGCTCCACTTTTGTCTTCATCTGGGCAAGAGTGGGCAGGCAATCGACGTTGGCGGTCTCACATTGACCAAGGAAGTCTCCTCGACGAGCATGAATGACAATGAACTACAAGGCGGCAAGACAGCAGTTTAGCACTCCCAGGGAGATGCAGACATTTGAGAAGCACATACCGGCGGCAGGGAATCCACATCCTCCGTTCCGAAATGACGCATCAGATATTCTTTGGCAATCCGGTCCACCCTTTCCCTCCAGTGCATATGGGTTCCCACGAGTCGCCACTGCGGACTCCAGTCCTGCCACCATTCGTAGTATGTGTCGACGCTCGTGTAGTACAGGTAGTCGTAGCATAACAGATGTTCCGACGGCTCGAGAGACAGACCGGAAAGTCTTGCCGGCGCCGGATGATGCTTCTGCAATGCACTCTTTCGGACGGAGGGAAATGCAAGCTGCATGATCTTGTTCAGTGAAACATGAGGGTCTCGGACATCTTGGGGAAACAGCTTGAAGCTGTCTATGCTCTCATTCAGCACATGCACCTACTAATGAAATATAGCTTAGCTGCGCACCTGGTACACCGGTATACGAGACGTCCAATTTCAGTTCTGACAGGACGATACTGGGTCGTTCGCTCTCATGCCAGGTGCTCCAAGTGCTCCAACATCCCAGGACATCCCAGGCTTCACTCGCTTCGTCCTTCACATCCCTCCATTCCAGGATAGGGATGCCAAGCTCTTTTGACAAGCGAGGAATATCGAATACCTCGCAGACAGGGGGGAAACCAGCAGACAGAGAGAGGTGAGATGGTGCGAAGGGTGGGAGGATGGGGATACGTTGCGTTAGGAGAGCAAGATGAATCAGATTAGCGTAGGTCATTACGTCATTTGCTACAGCGGCGTGAGAAAACGTAGATTCGTCCGGAAAAGAGGGACGCACTCCAACCCGCACTGGGCCAACTGGTGATATACTTATACTCAGGGAGAAGGTTATCTAGATGATCATGTCAGTTTGTTACTCCTTATCGATATATGGAGAGTGCGGTGCATACCTTCGAAGCTCTCTGTTGGGGGTCCCCTCACAAACTGACCAATATACTCCCTATAATCTACTGCTTGCGATGCCGGCTTGACCTCCGGTTCTGAAGTCGGTATATCCGCAACATCCGCTCCTGACGAGTCCATATCCGGATATGGCGAAGAAAGCGTTTCTCCGATAAGGTCTGCAAGCGGGTCGACCACCACCACCTCTGTTCTCCACACAGTCGGCCGCTTGATCAAAAGCGCTGTGGCGAACATCGTCGAGCTCAGCGTTGTCACCGCCAGTCCCACTGCCAGCCATCTTCCATACCTCACCCAGAACCTCTCGCTCGCTTTCAGAACCGGGGAAGCAGGTCGCTTCGGGAACGTAGAATGCCACTGGGCAGGCGTTTCGCCATCTTTCGGGGCAGGGCTGTATTGAGGGAGCTGCCATTCGGGTGGGGGCTCGAGGAGGCTTTGAGAATGATCGTGGGATGGCGGAAAGAGCGTGCTCCAAGAAGGAGGACGGGAGTGGGTGCGAGTACCTGGCATCGCTGGTGGATCGCTGTCCAGCGCGAGGAGCAAAGGGTGGACGGCGCAGCTGACGTGGGTTGGAACGAGAGTATATGCAGGCTAGTTCGCAGTCTTCAACCACTGACGAAAGTCGTCAGCGGGGAATGACAGAGACGAGAACAGGACGACGAACAGATGATGCATCTACCGGGTCATGCCAACTATACTCATTATGGGTGGCAGACTGGCAGTTGCCAAGCGCAAGCGAAATCTTCACTGGAAAGTGCCTGGCACAATTATCTTCCCCTCGCCTCCTGCATGCCGGAATCCATCAGCGGCATTGACTGGATATTGTTGGCTGAAAGATGCGCTGTGTTGGCGGGCCACAAGTAAAAGAGGAAGGCACAGCATCGACAAAAGTTGCAGTGCGGTTGCCAGTCACAGACACTTATTTGTTCATGTCGTTACTTTGATTGGCCCTTTGAGCAATATAACGATGGTTGATGATTTTGAACGATGAACATGTCAAGCAAGTACACTGTATGCTGCTGTTGACGCTGTAGAGTGTGGTGATAACGACCGTCAGAAGCGGAAATGCCAACGTTTCGAACGCGGCTTCTCCTGGTGGCGATGTGGATATCAATCAGACTGGTTCACGCGATACAAGAGCGATTCCGATGGAATTTTACCAGTAATACTAACGAATGACAGAATGATGCGCCATAGCAATGGCGATGTACGAAGTGAAACAGAAAGACAACAAGCACGTCGCATCTCGCCACATCCCAAACCAGTTGAACCCGGGAGACAGAGACAAGGTCCGACTTTCCACATAGAAAACCAAGGTATCAGACGGCGGACCGATCCAGCGGGCCAAAGTCATTACACAGAAGCGAGCAGCGCCCATAGGCTAGCAAATATATCGACGTTGGGCCCGATCTGGGCGTCAGTCTGCAGGCCGGCGGTTGTCTCGACAATGAGAGGCATGATGTCCACACCAACATCCGACAGGAGGTTGTTAACCAGGTTGGTGAGTCCACCGTTGAGGGAATCAAGAGTGTAATCGAGACCTGTAACCGAGAGGTCGGCGCTGACTTGCGCCATGATATCCTTTCCGATGATTAACGACGACGTGATTGTTAATGCAATATGTGAAGCTTACATGAAGGATGTTCCCGGTAATCGCACCGACGGCGTTCACATATGCAGTCGTGTCGTAGAGAATCAAGTCGGTCCCACCGACAAGGTCATTGACGGCCTCAGTCAAGTCATCAACGAGGGAGTTGTACTGCTCAGATGGTCAGCATATATGCGTTACTGTTCGAGGCACAAGCGCACGCCGTCGAGGAGACCAGCCGTGTCCACGGACGCGCTGGCAGACAGGTCGGCTGCATATATGCTCAATATATGCGCATATACGACACTATATTCACTCACCGATGGTGGAGAGGTCGTTAGAAACCTTGCTGTGCAGTTTTCCCAGCACACCGAGAGCAGTGGTGCATCCAAGGAGACAAGGGACATCGACGTTGGCGTCGACTGACAGGTCAAGGAGTGGGGCTGCAAAGGCAACGTTCACAACTGTCAAGGTGGAGGCCAGCCCCACAATGAGAGAGCGAAGGAAAGAGGCGTGCATTGTTGCTTTTTAGTTGAATGGGGAGAAGGAGAGTGGGAACGCAGGAGGAAGAGAGATGAGGGGACCCAAGATCAAAACGGACAGAGTCTTTATAGTCCCATAGTACGATCGATGCAAGCTTTCGTCATAATAGGTCGAGAAAGACTCCGAGGTGGTCGAGATCGAGGTTTTCGAGTGCAAGCTCACCATGTCTGAGACAGGTTGACCATGCAGGACTAATGTGGTGGATGTATGCGGGTCAGGCAGACGCACAATACAAGTACTAGTGGTACGTCTGGCCATGCATCCCAGAGTTACTCAAGGTAGTCCATTCCATATCCCATATCGACAAGGACGTATAGAGCAGAGCAAGGGCTTAGATGTGGCCATACTGAAGTTGAAGAGAGAGGGTGAAACCGAACTCCGATCGGCCCGAAAGACCCTTTCATTCACGTGCCAGCGTTTCGCCGACATCTTCGCCTCCATGAATTCTTGTTCCTTCAGAGAAATCTGTATAGGCTGTAGCGCCATATCCTCGGTCATGCACCATGTGCTTAGGAAGACTATTTATATGCGGCAGATTCGACTCAACGCTGTAACCGGCGATTTCGGATCGTACGCTCGGCGCCAAGCTGACGAGGCTTCACGATCATCAACCTCCATTTGAAAATGTGGACTGTCAGCGCACCTTGGTCTGAGGGCCTCCTTGCTCACCACTCCGTTCCAGCTTAGTACCTAGTTCTAGTTGCTGATATCTATCTTGCTGGAATGCAGGCAGTGGTGACTCTGTCAACTTCTCCACCTATTGGACACAAGCCTATCGAAAAGCGGCACTTTGGTGCAAACCATCCACCTGCACGCCACGCTCGGGACAGCGACAATTGGATCAAGCCATCAATATGGCTAGAAGACATTTGGAGGCATTATGGAAGAATGATTACGGTAATTCTGGCGATATGCACTGTTATTTCGACGAGTTCCAGCATCTTGCTCTTACTACGAGAACCTACACATACAGTTCATGATACCATGAGCCTTATGGCAATCTGGGAGGGATCTGACGAGGCCATTGCACCAATTCCAAATGTCAGTACAGTCATTGAGCCGTTTCCTGCCTCCCTCTCTGCTGCGGACGAAGATTACGGTGCTCTGACCCGGCAGCACGTTAATGGCCCACCGACCGAAAACTTTGCAGGTGCGCCTATGACCGCTCGGTCGTACCAGATCTCTCAACACAGTGCAATAGGCAACCTTCGCCCAGATATGAAATATATCACTACTTGGCCGGCTGCAGGCTGGAGTACGTGCCGACTCTGACCGTCCGACATCTTGCTTATGCAATCATTAGCAAACGACGTGATGAACTACGCAAACCTTATCCACCTTGCATCATTGACAGAACGTATCCCGATCATTCCGCCCTTTGCGCCTTCTCATCTTCCACAAGAAGCCGGGTTGGTGCCCTTCAGTGAAGTCTTCGATGTCCCACGGTTGTCAAAGGCGGTCGGTTTCCCCATATTGGAATGGAAGGACGTGAAGAGCACCACTAGTCAAGAATCGGATATCATGGGATGTTGGAGTAATTGGATGTTGACTCATGAAGCACCTCTACGGGGACCTATCTTTGAAGGGTTGAAAATCGGCGAGTCATCCTTCAGACACATTTCTACGGATGAAAGCTAATGCCTGACAGATGCCTCGTTTACGGCGGTTCCTGCCCATTTCAAGATGTTCCCTGACTATCCCAATGATCCGCACATATCACTGGCCAAGCTGATGCAGCTAGGCTTTCCCAGCGGACGCAGCGCAGCGCTCCATCTTCAACGACCAAGTCCTGCACCTATGTCCAACCGAGAGGTCGAGCCATCGGATCAACTCCTCTGCTTCGATTTCCTCTACTATACCAGCGTGGACTCCTCTTTTGAATGGGAATACGACTGGAGCCCACAGTGGAGGTTGGTCGGCACTCATATGCGTTGGGCCTCTCAACTTGAGGATCTTGCGAAGCAGTATTTGAAGGCTCATTTCGGCGTTGGAGAAACCGACGAGATTCCTCCGGTATGAGCACATCGTCTATTTATATCTCTCTGTCTAACCTCTTGCAGTATATCGCCGTGCACGCCCGACGTGGGGATTTCAGTCAACGGTGTGACGCCCATGACACCAGCTGTCTTCCCTCAGTTCGCCAGCTAAGCCGACGGGTCCAAGAACTGCGAACTGTCCTGTCCAATAGGGGAGTCCAGACAGATCGAGTCCTCGTAATGAGCGACGAGCGGGATCCTGGCTGGTGGAGAAGTATATCAGAGATGGGTTACACCTATATCAATCACACGGAGACGGAGACTTCGAGGAAGCACGGGCTATGGTGAGAATCACAATTTTTGGGTATTTTTTGTAGCTCATTGCATTTAGGTATGAACTGTTTATCGATGCTGTCCTTCTATCCCAAGGTGCCGCCCTGCTCGGCACGGACCAAAGCACGATGAGTCTGCTTGCAGAGCGACGCATACAAGATTGGCATGCCGGTCCCACGTCTCGGCTGACGTTCTTTGACGAGATGTGAGGAAGCGTTCATAGCTCTGCGCGTTAATCCTGCGATTCTGCTCGCACACGAAATGCGCCATCGGAGCTTTGATCTTTCCCTATACGTGGCGCCCGCTACCATCCAAAATCCTCCACGCAGACCACAGAGAACCATCTACCCGCAGACCAGACTGAGGAACGAGCGCCTATGATCCCCCTAGATTATGCCAAGTCGCTGATGTCAAATTTATTCAGGCTTTCTGTCTTCTATTACAGCTGATAAAAACCAGGTTCCTCTCGCACGACCTCTATGGCATTAGCTAAAGTACGGCAAAACCCAGGAAAGCTTTTCCGCGGCCTCTCTAGTAATATAATCCTTCTTCGTAATGCAAGCGAACTGCATGGTTCCAGTGAAGCTCGATCCAACCTTGCCGCTCTCAATATCCGGATAAAGAGCCTCGAGCACGTGCGCTGCAACATGCCGCGAGGCGTTTGCGTTCTGGTGAAGGGTCTTGACGACTTCTTCAACAGTGACGGGGTGCTCGGACACACGCCATGCATCGTAATCCGTCGATGTCGCGATGAGAGCATAGCTATGGGTGGCGTAAGCAAAACCAGAAGGGGCACATATACAGCAGCGCACCTCATCTCTGCCTCCCTCGCCAACTTGGCCTCTGGCAGAACGCTCATATTGATGATGTCCCCACCCCACATGCGGTACATGTTACTCTCCGCCCGGGTGGAGAATGCCGGCCCTTCCATGCAAACAACGCACTTCTCTGTATGGACCTGAGCTCCGTTGCCAACTTCATGCGGCGCGAGAGCCTCCTTGACGAGCGGGACGAGGTCTTTGATCAATGCGTCGTCGAAGGGATTTCCGAACATCGCGTGACCCACGACACCCTCGTCAAAGTAGGTGCTTGGTCGGATGCCCTTGGTGCGGTCGATGATCTGCGAAGGGACGACAAAGTCACCAGGGTGGATATCTTCCCGCAGGGACCCGACGGCGGAGAAGGCGAGAATGACGCGCACGCCCAACGACTTGAATGCGGCGATGTTGGCACGTACGGGAACATGCGAGGGTGAGTGCTGATGTCCGACACCATGTCGCGCCAAGAACGCGATCTTACCGCCGGACGGCAGCTGAGCGATCGTGAGGGGAGAGGAAGGATATCCCCATGGCTATCAAAGGTTCAGATAGGTACGGATGAGAAGATAAGGAAGAGCTCACCGTTTCAGGATTGACCGTCTCACTGAGGTTGTATGATTAATTATCGCGCATTGTGGATCAACAACCACTCACACCGGGGTCAGATTATCGAGGTGATACAGCCCGCTTCCGCCAATTACGCCAATAAGAACTATTCTATCATCAGATTCACCAATTCCAGCAACGACTGTTTACAAACCTTTATGCTCGGTCGACCCCATAGCAGCAGATCGTTTAAGTAAAAGGCGTGCTGCCAGGGCGTGCCTAACCCTCCTCTCAACAAGATGCTCGCAATTTGGCCGGACGATTTGCACCCACATTGCACGTGTTCGTCAGGGACATCCCTGACAATCGTGCTTAGTCAGCTATACACAACGAACCTCTCGGCCCGAAGCGGTATTTAGCTCGTGAACAATATTCCACGAACAATTGTGGCTATTCCCCTGATGGTCTATTAGCGCGACTGGTACTAGAAAAAAATCGTGACAGGATCATAGGCCATGCCACAGCAGCCTCGCAGTGCTACCCCCATTCCAGTCCTTCACCCTTCTCTCTGCCAATAAGGACATTGTGCTGCTATCAGTGCCCACAAACCCCGTCCCCTTTGAATGAAAGACGACATCCAGGAGCATCTCATACCACAACCCATGCTGTTCTGCCGTTCCTTCTTTCGTATGATCGATCCTTCCCCATCCATTCTCCACTATGCCTGCCCACCATTGTGGGTCCTTCTCATCACTCATCACGAGCACACGCTCAACCTGTGTCCCTCTTTCCTTCCACAACTCAAACTGCACCTCATAAATCCTTTGCTTCAGTTGTTCATAGTTCGGAAGGCAGCTCGAGTTCCTCCCTGGACATCCATCCCCAAAATCGTCTCTCCTAGCATGCACGGAGATAAAGGGTGGAACGGGATCGCTTGGGGAGACATGGAAGTGACGGCGCAGGTATTCGTCGGCCAGTGCATCGAGCACGAGGTTCCAATGCATATGCCGTGCAACAAGCTGCCATTCAGGGGAGTAGTCGTACTCCCATTCGAAGCTTCGGTCAAGTCCCGTGTAGTAGAGCCAGTCGAAGCACAACATTTGCTCGTCGGGCTCCAGCACCTTGAGCGCCTTTACTTCTTTGAGTGCGGCGGTGCGGCCAGAGGGATAGGCCAGCTGCAGGAGACGACCGAACAGGAGATGCCAATCGCCGACACCGTACATTTTGTTGCCGCCTATGATGAGGGTAAACGATTTGAGCAGAGAAGCGCCAGACTGAAGCAAGTAGCTCGAACTTACGTGGAACGGGAGTATAATGCACATTGAGCCCCAACAACCTTGGGTTCTCCGTCTCCCTTGGCTCTCTGTTTTCCTCCCCCCCAGCCATCCAGCTACTCCAGCAGCCCAAGTCCTCCCGTGGTATGTAACTGACGTTCGCCTGGGTGAGCTTGAGATCGTCCCATTCTAAGATAGGCATGTTGAGCGCCCTTTCTAGCTGGGGCAGATCGAAAATGTCTGAGAAACGCATCATTCCTGCAGACTTGGGGAAGTGCGTGGGAGTGAAGCGCGGGAGGACCGGTACACGGTTAGACAGGTGGGCGAGGAAGAGCAAGTGTGCGATCGCCATTACGTCGTTCGCTGCAATTCTGGTCAGTCACAGCGTTAAATGTTCGTAGGAGAACACGCACTCCAGCCACCCGCCACCCATGTCGTGATGTACTTCGCGTCTTCCCTCAGGTTATCTTCAGAGGGTGTCACAACAAACCCACGCGATCCCAAAGGAAAGACTCACCCCGAAAGAGTGCAGTTGGCTTGCCCTTCACATATTGGCTTATGTCAAAAGGTCTCATTCTGTCCCCCCCACCAAGCCATTTCCTCGGTCCCACCGTACTTCCACGTTTCTCCACGCCCTGTATTCTCACACCAACCAGGACGATACATGCCAAGCACACAGCAAGGAGCGCGAACCTGGTCCATCTGGCTCTCCTGTTAAGGCGAGGAGGAAAGTATGATCCACTGTGTGCCCCAGCCTCAGCCCCACTGCCGGATTCATAGGATGTCGCGACCTCCGAGTAAGGTGGCAGTGGGGTAGAAGGAAGGGAAGAGCGCAGTAAAGTTGGGAGCAGTGAGAGTCCGCTTGGGCCCGCTTTGAACGCAGGGTCTTTGGATGGAGAGCCCCGATGATGTCCAGGGTTAGCCATAGCTCCAGGTTAGTCTAGTCCGGAGTTGGAAAGAGAGACGCTCGAAGAATAAAAAGGAAAGAGAGGGGGACACGCCCCTCCAAGCGTGACATTACGAGAGTCCCTGGCGTTTGTTGCCCAGTTGACATGTCACGGGCGCTTGTACCCGACGCTCTTGGCAGCACGGTCAAGCCAGTCCCTCTGCTCCACACATATCAATCAAGCAATTCCGACACGGATTCTGTCGTGGAATGCATCACTGTCCTCATTTCATGACTCGAAGCGTTGAGTGACACCCGATGGAGATGCGCAGAGATAGCCTAAGCTCAAAGCAACGTACTTTCAGCTCGCAAAGGCCCCAAGGTGTTCGACAGGAAATCAGCCTTCGTGGGGACAATTTAACCCTCAATGTTCTGCGGCCGCTAGAGTGGACGTGTCAATCAGCTGCGTGGTCAAGCTAGCAATAAGCGTCAAGGATGTTGGGCAAGACCCTTGCCTGAGCCGGCTTCCAGTTAGCACTGACATGTAGGTTGCCCGGTGATGCATCTCGCTGGATGCCGACAGGATCATATTCGAGTCGCACGGTATAAATCGGTCGACAGAACAATTAGCTGAGTGCTCGCGACGAGCAGCCAGCGTATCAATCATCATGGCTGCTTTCAGGAAGGCCCATCGGCATCAAGCCTCCTCCCTGGGAACCTTTTTCACCAACCTCGGTACAACCTCTGAATCCAAGTCACCCGAATACTTCGAGCCACCTAAGCAAGATGAACTTCCCGCACCGCCGCAGACACCCTCGAAAGTGCGAACCAAGAAGAGGGTGCCGTGGAAGTTCACCTCTTTGGTCGCCGGCGTGTGCATCTTGGGAACAGCCTACCTCATCGTTCGAATGCTACAAGCGGCGATTGACAGTGATCATCGGACGGAGGCAATAAGCGATAAGCTGGCTGAGGATACGAAGAACGAAAGCCCAGTGAGAGAGTCTGATGCCTGGCGATGGGTTAGAGGAGAACCGACAGAGGCATTCCGAGGTGTGCTGGGCTCACAAATACCCAGTCTCTTGCTCATATGTACCCAGACAACCTTCTACCGAACTTCAAGTACATCACCTCCTGGCCCTGTGCAGGCTGGACAAACGACGTCATGGCGCTCGTCCACTTGATATATCTCGCTCAATTGACTGAGCGCATCCCCATCCTCCCCTCTTTCGCGCCGTCACACCTCGGCCAGGCCGCAGGGCTCATCCCTGTTAGCGATGTATTCAATCTTCGTCGATTGAGTGAGAGGATCCACCTCCCCATTATTGAATGGAGAGATGTCAAGTCCGCGAACTCGACCATCGTGGAGGAAATTGGATGTTGGAGCCCGTGGATCGGAGGAGGGCAGAGTAACGGCCAGCCGAGAGACACTTATCTGCCTGCAGCTCTCGGATTGGATATTTCATACACGCCAACACCTTGTGGGTTAGTCTGCCAACTTCATGCACCAGTCTACTCATCGTTCGTCCAGATTCAATGAAAGTATACGGAGAGGGCGACTCGCACACACTTTATGGCCGGCTCATGCAACTAGGATTTCCCTCCGGACGCCATGAAGCACTACAACAAGTCTCTCCACTTCCAGCCCCTACGTCAGGGCGGGCGTTCGAACCGGATGACAAGTTGCTCTGCTTTGACTATCTCTACTACACTTCGCTGGACCGGAACTTTGAGTGGTATTACGATTGGTCTCCGCAGTGGCGGCTGATCGGAAGACACATGGCCTGGGCGCCCACGTTGCAGGCGCTGAGCGAGGAATATCTTCGGCGGCATTTTGGCGTCGAAGCCAAAGGAGAGATACCCAAGTTCATATCTGTACATGCCCGTAGAGGCGACTTCCACCATTCGTGTCCTGCAGACGACTGGACCTGTCTACCGAGTATGGACCAGCTGCGAGAGCGTATCGAGCAGATCAGGAACGAAATCCTGAGGAGAGACGGCGGTTACGTGGAAAATGTTCTCGTGATGAGCGACGAGACGGATGCGGCGTGGTGGGAGGAGGTTAAGGAGAACGGCTGGAGCTGGATAGACCATGTTGTGGAAAAGACAGGAGAACGATATGGTGTTTGGTTCATATTTTCTAATCGTTCAGCGATATATGGTTCTCACTCCGCGGTACAGGTACATTCCCTTGTTGGACGCGGTCTTCCAATCTTCAGGCGCGGGATTTGTGGGTACAGATAGTAGCACAATGAGCCTTATCGCGGCGCTCCGTGTGCAAGATTGGCATGACGGACCTGTTACGTATCTGACATGGAAGGGATTGTGAGATTACGGTAGAAAGTCGGTGTATTTCTTCAATAACCCAGGACGCTCAGGTGGTATCTATACCATTCACATTTGTATCGATCTTATCGCGTGCAGGAGTAAATTGACGTGACTGGGTACATCCCTATTCAGACGCGTTTCTAGACGGGCTTGTATACGTCATTAGGGTGGCATCCTCATCCATTGCTTGCAGCCAGCTCGGTATATGTGAATTGTCGGCTAATGGTAGTCGATAGGGGAACCGACGTTGCCGAAAACTGGGAAAGACTATCATCAGAGTCCCTCAACATGAGGCTTCATGTCGTTTCTGACAGCGCGCCGGCTATCACTCCGCTGTTCCTTTGAACAGTGGGCCGAAGTCTCCCCTTGAGGGGAAAGCCGCACTGACCTTCAACAGCCGGTCAGGGACGTGAGGGACGATTTGGAAGAAGAAGCAATCTCGAAGCGTATGACGGGGACGTGGCAGATGGGCCAACAACATAAAACGCGTGGCCAGCAGGTAGGCGTGACCTGAGCAAGATAGGAAGACCGTTCGTCCGCGTCTGTCGGGTCTCGCAAGTCCAGCTCCGCCATCAGAGCGATAATGCGGCTTCGAGAGTCAGAGTGAAAGACAATTGCGATTCATGCGGAGGATGTTGAAAAGCCTTGACCATCCGATATCATAGCTGAAAAAAAAAATGATTAGCGAACATGCAGCGGAGAATACTTACACATCGCTGAAGTAAGACCCGCTGCCGCTGGTTTCGTGAGGCGCTGTACTCCTGTCGGCTGGATCAGATTTGCGCCTGTATGAATTGAATTGAATTGAGGTGCATTATCGCTGTCACCACACATGGCCGGAGGAATAGAAGCTCGGGGGTACTGAATGGGAGAATGAAAAGGACAAGCTGCATAAGCAACCGGTCGGTGTTCGCGCGTGAACGCGTGCACCGTCCTGGAGACGGAAGAAGAAGCCCCTCTTCTTCCCCACCTCGCCGTGGAAGTCAGGCGAACGACCAGAATGGAGAACGAATAAGGCTAAAGTGGTGTGCACGCGCTCAATCTTGCAGCGCCTTCTATCAACCGATAAGACCTGTGACCATCCGCGTTCTTCGCAGCGTTCAGATCCACGCGACGGCAAAACGCACGCTCTCGGACCATCCAATATGGTATATGTATAGCGCCCCCCTTGTCTGACTGCTGGACTCAGCGTTCACTTGTCCTTTGGCGCTGCTCCTTTCTTTTTGCGTTTAGGACGCACCTGTGTTCTTCTGAGAGACTGTTCTGTCAACAAACACGTCATGGCCGACATCAAGCCTGTTAGTGGAGAGAAGGAGGTCATGCCAGAAGGGATTGAGACCACTCAAGAGCCCCACATGGCCCCCAGCGGTTTTATCGGATGGTATCGAAACCCCTACGTCCAATGTGTGATGCTGGGTTTCGTGTGTTTTATGGTGAGTCAGAGCTGGGAAGGCGTTGCCAACAACTTGCTGATAATTTATTAGTGCCCGGTGAGCTCAGTGGGTGAACGTCGTGTCTTTCTTTCCTCATTTTGGTAGGGTCTTTTCAACGCTTTGAATGGTCTTGGAGGTGCTGGTCAGGTTCGTTGTTAAGTCTATGTTGTTCTGGTTAGCGTTTGACGTCGGTGTGACAGGTCGACGAGACCACAGCTGGTTAGCCCCATTTGGTCACATATGTTCACCTGCTCATCATGACGAACAATGATTAGCCAATGCCAACGTAGCGCTCTATTCTTGCTTTGCGGGTATGGCTTTTATCTCTGGTGAGTTGATAGAATACAGAAGGCAGGTGACCGTCATACTAAGTTTATCTACGTAGGTTCCATCCACAACATGATCGGCAGCAAGATGACGCTGCTCATCGGGACGTTTGGTTACACGCTTTATATCGCCTCGTATCTGGCATCTAACTTGCATGTATGCCCCTGAACTGCCCACTCTTCCTCATTGCTAACGTCAAGACAGCCTCTAACAAAGGGCATCGACAACTTCAGCATCGCCGCTGGGGCGATTCTCGGCATCTGCGCTGGCCTGCTGTGGACTGCCCAGGGATCGCTTATGCTTGCTTATCCTACTGAGAGCCAGAAAGGCCGTTTCATTGGTGTGCGTACCTCCGGGGAGCCTGAGTGGAAGGGTTTGCTCATCTGTGAGGAATAGATCTTCTGGATAGTCTTCAATCTCGGGGGTGTTATTGGCTCTGCTGTGGCGTTCGGTCAGGTGCGTCCACTCTGCACTTATCAAAGATCCGGCTAACCTCGCCCTGTAGAACTTCAACTCTACTGTACGCGTCCATATCGATGCCAGGTCTGCTCCATAAATGACACCATGTACAGGCAAACAGTGTTTCCAACAACACGTACATCGCGTTCATTGTGCTGACGTTCATCGGAAGTCAGTTGCCAAGTCTCCTGCGTGTCGCAAACATTAGTGTGCTAATATGCTCTTCAAGCCATTCTGTCGCTTTTCATAGCGAACCCGAACAAGATATATCGTACCGGTATGTGGTGTGCAAACGAATGGTGAACATGCTTGTGACGCTCGAACAGACGGTACCAAGGTGGTGCCTCTTCGCCATCCCACCTGGCAGGCGGAGATTACCAGCCTGGGTCTTGCCCTCTGGGCGGATCCTATGATTCTCCTGCTCTTCCCGCTCTTCCTCGCGTCCAACTGGTTCTACACCTGGCAGTTCAACGATTGTAAGCTGAATTCTAGTTAGACATTGGCAAGTAGTAACCGATACTGACAGTCAATGGTGCCCTCTTTTCAATTCGCACACGTGCCCTCAATGGCATGATCTACTGGTAGGAGGTCAATTTCGTTAAGTCTATCTCGAGACTTACACACCAGCGTTGTCTAGGGCATCGCAAATGTTTGGAAGTATTGCGATTGGTACTTTACTCGATTGGCCTAGACTGCACCGTCGCACGCGTGCTGTGATTGGGTGGTATGCGGTTGCGCACTAGGAACAAGCCATATAGCTGATCTCTCTATGAAGGGTCGTACTTCTCGTTTTCGTCATGGTCGTTCATGGCTGGGCCTACCACTATCAGAAGTGAGATGTCCAAGACATCGTATTCGCTCAGAAACTAATGCTTTCAAAGGGATTATACTCGCGACAGCCTCATCGCCAATCCTGAGAGAATCGACTTTAGCACTCCTGGTTACGCGGCATACATCTGGCTGTAAGCGGCCGTACTGCCATTGTGCTGATGACGCTAACGCACGTCGAAAGTTACATCTTTTGCGGACTTCTGGACAGCATGTGGCAGACCGCCTGTTACTGGTATGTGATTGTATGTGCTATTGGAATGACAGAGTTTGAACAGCGTCTAGGTTCATGGGTGCAATGTCTAATGACCCCGCCAAGCTCGCTTACTTCACCGGCTTCTACAAGAGTCTCCAATCTGCTGGTGCGGCGGGTATCTGGCGCGTTGATGTATGTGCATTCCCTCACGTATACTCTCAATACTCAGGCGGTTTCGCATTGTAGGCCGAACTCCTGCCCTACATGAATATCTTCGCATCAACATGGGCACTCCTTTTAGGCGGCCTGTTTTGCGCCGCACCGGTGTTGTGGATTCGCATCAGGGACCACACAGAAATGAAGGATGAGACCTTGTGAGTTTCCTGCTGCTTTTGTAGTGACCCTTCTCTCATGGTGCCAAGGATGCGCATTGATGAGCACGGTCACGTTCACGCCGTTGAAGAGAAACCTGCTATTGTGGAAGAGACCGCGTAAGGCCAACGGACAATCTACTTAATTTTTCTCACGCACTGGACTTCGAGATGAATGATATTACATGATGAATGATATTACATGATGAATGATCTTACATGATGAATGATATTACATGATGACTTGAGAACTGACCCATTGGTACACACATGATTATCTGAACGGGCCAGAGCATTAAGAGTATAGGTACATCCAGCGTACGAATGTGAATGTCCACGAGAAGAAGTGCATCAAGGACTTGCGTCTTCTGGCAAAAAAAAGTCTGTGTACCCCTGCGTCAGAGATACAGTACTGTCGTCATCCTCGCTTATGGTGCCATCCGAGCCAGTGAAAATCTGTGAAAACCGTGATTTGAAGGTTGGCTGCGGCATGCCGCCGACCAAGGTCCCAGGGTCATAATCTGAGAGGATGGACTCAAAATCAAGGAACTTGCTCCACGGCTGCCGTTCAACCTCTATCCGTTCAATCCACTTTTCGATGAATTTACGGTGAGCACTGGAATAAAGTGGTAAATAACGACAACACAGAGGAACAGGACGAAAACGAACATGGCATGTATGAAGGAATCGTAGATTTCTCGAATGATTCCGTGGCTGTCAATGAAGAAGGTAACGCGAGCTGGAAGAATGGCTATGATCAGACGTGCGAGCTCCCGTGCAAGCGAAATATCTACCGTCGTAGCCAAGCAAGCCCTTTCCAGTCCGATACATGTTTCTTACTGCTCCGTCGACATCGCAGAGAACAGTGAAAGGGAGACGGTAATCCTCGACAAAGTGTCTGTTCTCTTCTATGGTGTTCCCGCTGATGCCAATAACCTGTTCGATGTGAGTTTCTGGACGTGACGTGATGCCTGTACATACTTCGCATGCAGCTCTGGACCATATTTCTTTAGAGTTGGACGCATCTCGTATTGAGCAAGTTTGAAGAACACATCCTATTGTTCCTGCTGCGGGGAAGAAGAACAGGGCGATAGGCCGTCCACCACTGAGAGCATTGCTTAAAACGGTGCAGGCAGACCAGGAGGCAAAGAAGGGCCTACGGTTTGAACTTGAACATCTCACCACTGGTTGTGGGCAGCTGGAAGGACATCGCGTGTCTTCCAACTAGATCCTTTGCACCGCGATGGGGGGGCATTATAGATATTAGTGGCAACCGTATATGCGAGAAGGACGGGTCCGCAGAAAAGGGGGATGATGGGGGCCTGGGAGAGAGAAGCACACATCCAGCAGAACGATGCAGGTTTTTGTAAGGTCACATTCGGGTCAATACAATGGAAATGGAGCACTGCCAGCGCATTGTCGGAAGAGTCATGAAACCTCGAAGAGGAGACGGCCGTCCACCGCCCAGGGGGCTTCCAGAGAGACCCGTGGACGCCAACAGAACATGCATCGAGATGTTCACGAGAGCGGAGAGCGCCATTGCGTGTCCGATCGGAAATCAGACAACAACTGTGAAGACATCGAACCGGTTATAACGTCAAACAATGAAAGTGGCCGCAGAGTAAGAAGAACGTGTGCTGGATGCGGTGCCTGAAGATGGTCGCGTGTTTGATTGCGAGACGCCCGCAATTCAACACGGAAGTGATGAAACGATATCCTTGCCCCGTGGTGCCGGAAGAATCGAAGTGCGACATTCTCTAACACTTCCGCATACCGTAATATACAAGAATTGTCATTATTGTTCCGGAGGAGTGTTTGATTGTTTCGCTCATTTCGACCAAGAAGTAGCCCCTACATTAGTACGGTGTTATTGTACATGTGCATTATTATACTAGTACCATGAATCCCTCAACACGTTATGCCTACATCCCAAGATGAACGAATGGTACCCAACGTATAGCCGGTAGTCCACAACGCCTCAAATGCATGACAGCTGCATGTAGCGCCTCCGCAGAGGACCGGAAATCACCTTGACCATCTGCAAATATATATTCATAAACGTCCTTTGTAACGATCGGTGCGTCCTGCATCCTAGTTTCAGGATTTGTTCCAGGAATGAGTCGGTGAACATACCTTATCGGCGATACCCCATTGGGTAGCGATCACGCTCTTGAACCCCGCCAGTTGCAATGCTGATGCCAAGTGGAGTGATTCGTCGGGCAATTCTCCAGCCGGTCGGGCTGTATGACAAGCCGACAGATACGCAAAATCCGCGTGGGGAAGGCGCAATTTCGAGATGTCTGAAAGACTCAGGGGTCCATCAAAGAATCGGAAACTGCTTAGCAGTGGATTTTCTGCATTGCTGTTGCCGTGACAAGACAGGTGCACCCAATCAGCATTCCGAAGTTGCTCACAAACACGGACTACTGTTGCTTCGTCTCCAAAGAGGCATGTGGTATTTGCATGAAATGGTATGGCCCTAACAATCTGTGTTTCCTCCCTTGAGCAGACCAATGGTGCCTGACCTGGAGTCGATGGTTGGCTGATTGCAAGTATCCGAAGGTCCCGGTGCTTGTTTCGGAGCGACTTGCGTGCTCGGATCAAGGACCCTAACGTTGCAGTGTAAGAGCAAACAATATCATCACTCCCTGAGCTTGCGTCGGAGGAGAAGCCTGCCGCATGGATAGGCAAGAGACAAAAGGGTCCCGTAGGTAAGAGCCATATTCGGCGAGGAAGGTGATCCCGGTAGATGGACTTCAATGCGTTTCGTATTGGGGCAACAATTGTGTGTCGAAGGCGATCCAAAACGCTTCGAACCACGTATTCCATGAATGAAAGCCCACGTTGGTCCTTCGGCACATTGAGGCCATGCCGTAAGAATTCGGCCAACTGAATTGCTAACCGTGCTTGGATTCCAGGCAAGGCACAGTGATAGTTTTGATGATCCGGTGTGAGAATGATAGCATCCACCCGTGTGGTGCTGCCGTTGATTACTATGACTGGCCCGTCTTTTGCAGCTTCGGAAAGCTGGGAGAACTTGGTGGCTTGCAGGAAATCCTCGAAGCCTGGCAGTTTCCGGACTTCGGTGACGAGCTGTTCCCATCGTTCGGCAAGTCGTCGATGTCGCTGCAATAAATGCTCGTTCTCTGATCCACCCGAGCTTGGTACATCTGCCTCGAGGGCTCGTCCTACATCTTGCAATTCTTGTGCCAACTTGGGTGCGGTATCCTGTAATTCATCGACTTCGGTTCTCAGCTGGAGTAATTGCCGCCAGAAGATGCCACGCCCCGACTCCAGCAGCTCCAAAGCTCTGTCATACCTCCCTACGGCGATGGCCGCAGCAGCAGCGTCCACTGCTAAAGTCCCTGCACGAGAGCGGAGCTCCTGGAGTCTCATATCTCTTCCATAGCCGAGCCAGGCCACTCGTGGCAGAAGCGACACTGCAAGTGCATACGCGCGGTACGCTTCTTCCAGTAGACTATTCTCCTGTGCAAGACTGGCCAATTTCAGAGCAGCCTTGAAACGGTCAGCAAACAGTGCTTGGGAGTCGGAAGCCGCCTGCTCGAGAAGTGTGACAATTTCTGAAGGGTAGGTCGGTGGCTTCGATATGGTGCTGGACTCTTCCAACACATCTGCAAGCAAGAGGCAGCACTTTGTCTTCTCCACCCCGGACGCAACATGTTCCAGGCAATCGGACAGGAGTTGAAGGGACTCGTCCAAGTAATCCTTGTTCTGCTCAATTTTGTATGACGAAAGGAGGGCACTTCCTAAAGCCATTAATGTCTGACCTCTTCGCTTGTGACCTGACGGCGAATGTTCGACAGCCGAGCGCAGGTGCTTTAGACCCTCTTTCCAGTCGTCACATTGATGGAAAAGTTGAGCACGCGATATGAATGCTTTGCCATACGCGAGAAGGTGTTCGGGTATATCGTAAATGCTTTCGCGGCGTGCGTCTGCCTTGGTCATCCAGTCTATCGCACTCTCCAAATCTTCGACCTTTCTATCGTGAAGGTAGAGTTCGTAGTAGCATACGCCAACGTTCGCCAAATAACCACCTCCGGACATTTTTTCGACTACATCCTTGCAAAGGCGAAGCGCTTCCTGCAAATCTGAGAGGGCGGTGAAATGGTACCACCTTTCTAAGAAGCCAACTGATAGAATATTGACGAAATTGGCGTGCATGTTCAGTGTACTAGGGATGTTCGAGCACCTCTCTCTCATCAGGGCGATCGAGCGGTCGATGTCATGTAGAGACCCATTGCTTCGGAAGCGGTATATCAGACTCAAGCAAAGATTGTATACGGCAGCGTTATACCCTTTCTGCTGGGGAGGCCGAAGGCGCAAAGATTTCTCCTGGATCTGGACGCAGTTGTCGATGTCCGTATAATCGCCCCAAAGGTGATATCGATTTCGGAGACCATTCGAAGTCGTTGTCAACACGGCGGTGTATCTCCGATCGTCCTCGCGTACGCATTGTAGTGCTTCTTGTGCGACGGTGATTGCGCGATGTAGCGCAGTAGGCTCTTGTGAATGTGACAATGAATATCGCTGCAACGCAATAGCGAGGGCGTTGAGATATCGCGGTCGGCGGGGATCAAACGATGTAGCCAGTGCGACTGCCTTCTCAGCATATGTCAGAATTTTTTCCACTTCGCTCCGCTCATTCAAAGTGTCCTGTCGGCTTCGATGGGCCTCGCTGAGAAACAGCAAACAGAGTGGCCGGCAGCCTGAAGCATCGTCCAGCTCGACTAGGGTGCACGTCAGGCACCTGATCGCCTCCTGCAGTCGCCGAAAATCGCCCCTCGCTTCGTACAGGTAAAACAAAGCACGACCATGCCAAATAAGCAGGTCCGAGTTGACGGAAGAAGGGTCGATGGGGAGGGATTCTGCCTCCTCGACCAGCTGGACAGCACGTTCTGCGTCTGTCGCTTGTGTAGTGCCGTCAAACCGCAACGCGTGTGCGCGAGCACACGCGCGAAGGTAGTCAATCCGATTCTTTGGCTTCAATCCGTTGGCCGAACACAGCTCCTCGCCCATCTCTACCGCTTTCTCGATATCCGACTCACTGCCCCACAAGTCGAAGCGCTCCGACAGGAGAAGAGAGAGGTGATATCGGCATAGTAGATAGTCGGGGTGCTGGGGCATGAGGATGAGATGCAGATTCCAGTAGATACGAACAGCTGCATCCAGCTCAGCATGTAGGCCGGTCGAACGATACCGCTTGGTCGCCGCCGCCCCGTCCGCTAAGGTTGGGGCAACATCGATGAAGCCCAGACTGGTAGGGGCTTGCGGGCGTGCAGCAGCGGCAAGCGCCGTATTGACGTACGAAGAAGATCCGGGGATAGGCAGTCCACTTGGAGAGATATGAACGACTGCTGTGGTCGTAGCAGTAACAGAGAGCGCGGCTCCTCGGAATTTGATCCCATCTTCTTCGTCGTCTAGCAAACAGCATAAGCACTGGCTTCTCTGGTCCTCGCGGCGCTGAAAGAGATGCACACACCAGTAGACGCTGAACCTGGGTCATAGTCTTCATTGGAGCTCATGGTTTCTTGGAGAATAAGAGGGGGATTGAATGGAGAGCTGGGCGTCGCCGTGTATGCCCCTACAACGCCCATACACGCCCAGGCCCTGCAGGAGCTTATAAACACTCCACTTGCCGCCTGATCATGCGGGAATGCGGAGATGCACGATAACCGTGATTGCACTCGATGATCTTCAGGTGTGTTCTGACCGTGGACAACGGATGACGTGCCAGTCTTACTGGACCGGCGTTGTTGGCGACGTATTTCAGGGATGGGGACGGTTCTTCCCGTCGGCAAGTCTTGACACGGCCACACTAGTCTCCAACGAGCTTTAAACTCGCACCGTGACAGGCCGTACATTACGCCCGGTGAAGGACTTCTCACGTCTGGCGCCGGAGCAGAACTACTATTTCATGGGCATTTGGCACCGACAAATCGGTATTACGGGGTGAATGATAAGTGGTATTACAATCGTACATCTCTCACGAGGACAACATGTGTACTACACGGGGCCCACAGCCGGACAGAAAACAAGAACATGAGGTAGGAGCCTAGATCAAGTGCTTGGCACCACGACTGAACTCAAGAAAGGGAAGTTCAGCACGGTGGGACCAGCAACCGCTGTATCAACATGGTCAGTCGCAATCTGACAGTTTGCACGGCCGAGACGTACTGTTTCCATCTGTCACACTTGAGCTACTCGTGGTGACCAGCATGAATACGGTTCCAAGCAGCCCAGATGGCTATGATCGTGATCATCAGTGGTGATCGACATCGATCAGGGATTGATGGCCTACCACCGCAACGGAATTATCGTGCTGAATTGATACAAATATAGTAGAGAGTCCAGTGAAAAAAGCGGCGAAGTACGGCCCGGCAATGCTCGTGTTAAATTGCAACGTCACCGTGTCTCCTGCTGAGATGGACGCTTGCTGGATTGAGAGCGCGGGGAAGGCGGTCACAGGAAGAGCAGGATTCGAAGACGGGCATGAAGTGATGAACGAGGCTAATGAGTATGAACCAGGTACATCAGTCTGGCGCGCTGCGGGGTGAGGGGGCACATACCAGCAAGGGTATACACCTGATCCACATCAAGCGGGGTCTCAAACCCAGTATTCCACCCTGGCCCATGCTCTACTGCACTCTCGATCCACCCCTGATGCCGCGCTTCCACTGCCAGAATGCTGCTAGCAGCCATAATCACGCTCTTCTCCGTCAAAAGCTGCGTCGACCCAGTATAAGCGGCCACACCGATCCCCTCCAATGCCGAGGCGAGTGCGACGAACGAGGAGGGGTCGGTGTACGGGAACGAGTAGACACATTCTGCTGTTGCAGCAGAACCGAGGATGGAGCGGAGGTAAGAAACATGGGAGGCCTCATGCGCTGCTATCTGCGTGATGCGTCTGCATGGATGATGTACCGACGTCAGCATTGTTAACCAGTGAAACGATACACGAACACGCACCCTCTGACCCAATCGGGAAAGCCTGCGCTGGTGAAGGCCGTATCGTCAAACTCGACAACAGTGAGCGAACTTCGACACACTCGCATCGTCCCCCGCACGTACTTGTGATAACCCGTCTGCGTAGAACCGGTTTTCTAAGTATTCGAGCGTGAGTGCAAAGTTGAGCATCGTATTATCGATGTTGCTCTGTCGTCTGGTGGGCACACCAACGGCACCCAGAGCAAAGAGGGTCGAGAGAACAGTTAAGGACTTCATATTGGAAACAACACAATTCTTGGACGAGTCTAAGCAAGGAGATCGGGGTGGGTAAGGGAAAGACACTCACACACAGACAGCTGGTACAAGGGAGAGCAAGATTGGGCGTGACTCAAGGAGAGCAGTTTGATACAGATTGATATTAGGTTGGGCGTCGTATGTGCCTGCAAGCATAATGAGCACAGACTGACGTGATAGATAGAATAGCACAGGAAATGGCGAAGAGCAGCCGAAAGACGCGTGGAAAACGCGAGGTATGACAACAAAGTGTCAACCAAACCAGAGACTTACGTCGATGTGACGTCCTGGCGCCGAGCAGAGGGAGAGAGCCAGATAACGAAGAGGAGGGCAATCAGGGCGGTTGTTGTCTAATGTCCACCGTGCAGAACAGACAATAATGGAACGTCCAGACGGAGAAGAGCTCGAGGGGAGCGCTTCCTCTTGCGCCCCATTCAATCTTGGGAAACAGAGAACCAACAATGTTTGGTCCCGCAATAAACTCGGCTGTTGTGCTCTGTCAGATCGATATCAGGGCTGACAAAACCTTGTTTGGCACTCAACTATTCTCGGCCCAAACAAAAGAAAATTGCTAATGATATTCTTACAGCGATTGCAGTAGTATACAATGCAAGCAGCATACTAACAAAACAATGACAACTCCAATTCATATTACCGCGGCAGCATCATTCATCTCCACGTCTTCCTCCTTCCTGGTGTCAGGTATCTTCTGCCGAGGCATCACACCCCTAACAAAGCTGTTCCAAGCCTCTGGAACTCCCTTCGCGCCTTCCTCCTTCTCATCCCCAAAATACACGCCTCTTCCGTCGCCCCACGCATATTCATGTTGCGTCAGCCGTCGCAATACACGGTATGCTTTGGCGTTCGCGTAGGGGATTCCGGTGGAGGGATCGCGATAGGGTGCAGGGAGACCTGTCATTGGACACATGGGCGGCCTGCGGTCTATATCACTGTCAGCGGTAAAGCCAACGAGTTTATCTTAGCCAGACTCACAAATCGGCCGATTGCGAGCTGGTACAACTCTGAGGTTTCCCCAATCCACGTGATCTCCAAACAGTGCTCCCATCTCCTCAACCCATGTCCATGGTACTTTCGCCTTCGACTTGGCCTGAGTGTCGCTCTCCCCTTCGTCGTCCGAAATCAGTTCCTGGGGTATAAGGTCTTTGAGAGCAATGAGGTTTCGCATTTGGAGGTGCATGTCTTCCGTCAGTGGTCCTTGTGATTGCGCCGGCGCAGACGGGCCAGTAGCTGGAAGGGATGTATCGGTGTTGGGTACGCCTTCGGGACCACCGAACGGGACAGGGTGAATTTCTTCCTGAGGTATGGCAGCAGCGGGCACTCCCAAAGACAACTCCTGTTGGTTCGCCTCTCCGACCTCAGCTTGTGGAGCTTCAGTGGAATTTGCAGTTGCATCTTCGTGCTGAACATCTATGGTACCATTTGTCGCTGCCGTTGCCTGTGGGGATGCCTCTATGGCCACGCCCACTGACACCCTTTCTTGTTCCCCACTTTGTTTTGCTTCGGATTCATCGGCAATCGACATCCTTTGAGCGGGCGACACAGATTCAAGAATGGGACGTGTGTCTTCAGCCGGCTTGCTGCCTTGAGCGAGATCCTCCGTCTCATTTTGGGCAGAATTTGTCACGGCCAATGTGTGCGCTTCCCAAAGATGCGTCGTTCCGGGTTCGATTACCTGCACCAGCGGCACTTTGATCTCCTCTGCCCGACTCACGAAACTCAGTACACCACCCTCATGCACCGTCTTCCTCACAACTCTCGCTACCCGCTTCTTCTCCTCCTCTCTGGCTAAGAAGTCTTTGAGAGACTGGACGTTGCGCTCTTCCAGCTCAAGGGCGTCTGCAATGAGCTGGTCTTGAGTTTTGCGTGGAACAGTGGGGCGCTTGGGTTTGTGCATTAGGGACGCCTTGGAATAGTGTTAGTGGGATGACATAATGACTGGACGCTCTACAGTGTACACACCCGGCGAGCAGCATCCTCTTTCAGCTTTCTCTCCAAGTTGAGCTTCGCCGTTTGTGCGCTAGCTCGCGAGCTCTGTCGCCTCCGAAAAGGAAGCCCTTTCACATTATCACCCGGAAGAGCAGCTTCTGGAGGTAGAGCAATGGAAACGTGCTTTGGCAGTTTTGGGCGTGGTTCGACCGGTTTCGCGGGGGGCTTTTTGGTGAAAAGGGAGGTCGTCGTTGTTCGTTCCACCTTCTTTCGCACAGCCTTTGTAGCATTTTAAAATATGTATTAACATTGAGGAGATATACACACCGCTCGGTGGGCTTTCTCTTCTCGTAATATTGCTTTCTCCTGCGTGTCTTCATCCTCATCCTGTTCTTCTTCTGTGCTCGCAAAGTCCGACTCGAAGACATCTTCCTCCTCGACTATTTCAACATCATAAGTCATTCATTGACACTGAGATTAACCTAAACTTACCTTGATCCCCAACGAACTCAATGTCACCCTCCTCCTCGGCGAACATCTCTTCCGCCTCAAACTCAACATCCAAAAGGGCGCGCATTCTGGCGTAACAAGATTAGCTATATCTGGAACTCGTAAACAGGGATGCATACCGGTTTCCGGCATTGGAGCGCCGCTCGCGTTGTGCGGCTAGTGGTGGAGAGGACATGATGGTCGAACGCCGATGACTGCAAGAATCGGTATCAATGAAGAACAGTTCTTAGTGGCTGTGAAAGACAATGCAATTATTAGGGTTCTGTTTGTTACATAGCAATATCAAGTCTAATATTATTGCTTTTACTCCTCCCTTCGAACGTTCAACCCACCCTTCCTCTATTTGCTCCTCCCCTCCCATTCCCCTATCCAAGTGCAACGAACTCTGTGACGTGCCACGTTTTACCACAAGGCCCTCCATAATAGCACGATCTTCGAATTCTTACTGGGCAGAGACTAGGGAAGAGTGAAGGATTGAGTTAGGACAGTACCTGGAAGCTGCAGTACTGGCAGGGACATGTATGACAGCTTATCCCGAATGCTTCTGCTATAGTCAGGGTATAATAGACCATGGCATCCTTCACAAGTGGTGTGATATTAATGTCAGGGGCATGGTGGAGGAGTCTTTAAACAACTTGAGCGCTCCACACTGAACAAAAATTGAGTCCTAAAGGCCGAGATTAGAAGGTTAACCGCCTTGCCAAGCAACTATTAGTGGCTCGAATTGGTGTTACTACCCCATGGGGCGGCTGTGGGGTGACTTGGAGGCGCGCGTGCCTTCCGTCCCTGTTGTACCTTCTTCCTGTCTGTACACCTCCACCATCGGCATACCGGACGGACAGCGCACTTGCGGGTTCCTAACCTCGTTTGGACTCACAGCGGGACGTAAACTGGACAGCTTGCCGATGTATATAATGCCTGGGGAGCTAGAGGCTCTCATCGGCTTCCACCTTCCACATTTCTCCCTGCGTCGCCTTGAACAGCGGACGATATTCCATCCATGGGCGACGTTCCTTCTTTCGCATCTCTCCCGCCTTTCCCAAATGACATCGAGACTGCTCCTCTCGTGACAATCGAACTCAAGAAACTCCTCGCGAACGACGCAAACGAGGCGGCAAGGCTGTTCACATGCGGCAAGGAGCTCGGCTTCTACTACCTCAACCTCATGGGGTGTGAACAAGGGGAGAGGCTATTCTACGACGCCCAACGCTTGCTCTCGCTCGAGAAGCAGTTCTTTGATCTTCCACTCGAGGAGAAGGCACTCGCGGACCGTGACACGCTCAAGGGCGCCAACGGTTACTACGGTTACAAGGGATACGGGAAGTCCATCATGGACGCTAAGGGCACACGAGACAAGCATGAGTGCTTCAATGCAAGTCTGTGCCACTGGTTGTTGCACATTTGACTGATGCCTGCTCTAGTTGAAGAAGGATGATATCGTCGGCAACACCGAACCGCTCGATTCGCCTCAGCTGATCAAGGACAACAGGGACCTTTTCCGCTCCTATGCCCTCAACGCACAGAGCATCATCATATTGATGCTTGGGATTTTCAATGATCAGCTCGGTCTTCCGGCAGGGACATTGCAGAATCTGCATCGTCTCAAAGCTGAGTCCGGTGACCACGTCCGTTTCCTGACCGCCCCACCCCAACCGCCAGAGGAACGTGGTGTCAACGCAGGTGCACACACCGACTTCGGTTCCCTCACTGTCCTCTTCAACTGGCTTGGCGGACTCCAAGTTCAGCTACCCGGCACAACCAACTGGACTTATGTTCGCCCTGTCCCTGGGTGCGCCATCGTCAATCTTGGCGACGCAATGGTCAAGTTCACTGCTGGCCTGCTCCGCTCCAACATCCACCGTGTCGTTACTCCACCAGGAAGACAGGCAGAGGAAACGCGCTATTCGCTCGTCTACTTCAGCCGACCCGAGGACACCGTACCCCTCCAGCGGTTGAAGGGAGGCTTGATCGATGAGCAACCCCACACAAATACTCCGGAAGAGGCTCTCACAAGCAAGCAATGGATCCTCAAGCGCGGACTGGCAAATAAGGTGACAGAAGATTGGACACCCCAGAAGTTCCTGGAGAGCCGTGGAACCGAGGGAGGCCGGGAATCTTATTACTAGCTTATGTGCCATAGTTATACTGTACTACCCGCAGATGGTGGCTCTGCGTTTGTGAACGTATTATAAAGAGTTTGACGGTCGGTGTTGATTTTGTAATTCGTTTTTTATGTGCTGGAGTCGTTGGTGAATGTAGTTGTTTGTTCATCCATCACCCACATCCCCGCCTTATGAATCTCTTGTCCGAGGCTGAACGAGCACGCCGGCCGACCGTGACCCCTTTGTACAGCGGGTACCGAGTGATATGCATCACCGCGAAAGGGAGATGATCTAGGGCTGAACAGGTTTTATAAGCAGAAGGGAAAAGCCATAGAAACGTGTACTACATCGATTCGGAGGGGAGTTCGTAACGTTAAAATGAAATAGGCTATAGGCGATTCGGGTGAACAAGTAGAAAGACGGGTTGTGAGAGCAACATGACTGTATCCAGACAAGGGATACCGGTCTCTTTAGGCGATGGGGAAGAACTAGCAAAGCACGATCAGAGCGCATTGGCAGATGCAACCTTGGCGCGCAGGTCATCAGACGTCGCGGTCGTAGTAGCGGGAGGCGGAGCACGGCGAGAGCCGTCGAGGAGAGGGCGAGCAACAGTGAGATACAACACGCGAGCACCCTGAGAGAATCGTTAATCGACAACACAAAACAAATACGCACACCAGCGTACCTTGGTCGCAGGAAGCTGCAGCCAGATGACAAACGCAGTCTTGAAGACGTAATAGAATGGTAGGTAGTAAAGGACAGCGCTGAGGGCGACCGACTCGAGGAAGTTGAAGAAACCGAAGACGATCCAGTAAGTGAGCCATTGGATGTCGTCATCAGCCTCTTTCGTTTCCAGCGCACGGAAGGACAGGTAAGCTGGGAGAAGCCAACCAATGAAGTTACTGATGGGAGCAGCAAGCGCGTTGAACAGCATGCCGATGAGCAGGAGGACGAAGGTGCCGAGGAAGACCCATGCCTTGGGCACTGAAGTCTTCTGCTCAATTTGGTTCATGTACGGATACTTGCCGAGCTGGTGTATGGGGCCAAGTTCGCACACAGAGGCGAGGCAAGCACGAGGTTGAAGAGCACAGAGGAACGCGTCAGAGAGAATTTCCCGCGGAGCAACGGATACATACCTCCTTGTCAAGTTGGGAGACATAGTAGTTGGCCCGATCTTGGATCTGCTTGGCGACTGGGTGATTGAGGATTTGGTCGGCTGCAGACTTTGTCTTCGCCTGGCCGGCTTGGACGTTGGCTTGGTAGGACATCTGCAGGGCGGGGGGAGATGACAAGTGCAGAAACAGAGGGTGTGGGGGAAGGCAGCGAGTGAGGAGATGGAGGATGCAGAGGAGGGCCAAGAGGGGTGGTGGGGGCAGATTAGGACGTGGAGAGGGGTGATAACGTGGTAGCGCAGTGGGCGGAAAGGAGGCAAAAGACGTGAGGCAACGGTGAGCATACACGTCGCTGATTACGAGATTGAAAGGAAGACAAACCTTTTATAGACTTGATTTCGTGAAGAGTTAGGTGTTGCTCAATAGGGAGAACAAGGTGATGGTGAGAATACAAGATGAATTTACTGATACGACGCTTTTGAGTTTTTACTCGAGGAGGAAGAGAGAACGGAGGGAGAGAGGAAACGGAGGGGCGTCCGTGCGTCAGTGACCCACGTCATCCACCAATCAGATCCCGTCTCACAAGGAAAGGACTCAGATTTGTTCCCGCTGCTGTGCTCCTCTGATCCCGTGATGCCGTCGCATCTTGCTAAAACCGAATCTACTAAAGGGCCTTGACACGTCTACCACAGAGAATGGCCATGGAGTCGTATTCCCAAATACGCGTATGTGCAGATCATTATTGTTTAGAAATAATCACTCAATATTCCTCAGGAACTGTATGCACGCCTACCGCCTTTCAGTCCTGCAATACCCACCACTCTCCTTCCTTATATCGCTCTATTGCTTTGCTCGGCTGCTTTCCTCCTGGGGTTCTACTTCACAACGTATGTCTCGAGTCTCAGTGTCCATATGCGATCTTAAACCACGGCGCAGTCTACCCAAAACTGCCTTCTCAATCAGAGAAGTACTCGTTGCGCTAGTGGCCAGTATATTGGCAGGGTTCGGCATCGTAGCACTCTTCAACTATTTGGGTGTATACGTATAACACGCATTGCAACAGAGTGTGTGTGATAGGATACAAAGGCGGCATAACGGCTCACGGCAGAAGTCACAGGAGGGAGAATCAGAGACGCGTGAAACCCAGAATCATCCGTTTTGTCGCCATGTATGCTTGCACTCTGGGTTGAGACACTGGAAAAGCAACGTATTAGGACACACATAACATCGGTATTATGAGACGCAAGGAGAGCACACGCACAGAATAAATCAGCGTAGCGCCTTCATCGGCACTTCGCATTTGCTTCTCTTTGTACGTACTCTCACGATGACCGCATTTTGGGCATTCTTCATTACTCTAAGTGTGCATTGTAGTGAGTCACTGGGTAACGAATTCATATGGATAGCAAGACGCGCCTTGGTGTCCAAGTCTCCCCCGATGTGCGCCCGTGTCCTGGTCGTTCGTTTCAGTCGCAGAGGAGAGGGGATCGATTCGAGTGTCGAGACCGTCGTCACCTCAATATTCTCATATGCTGTACAATGTCATTGTCTAGGACAGTGATTAGAAAAGGGATGACTTACACGATGCGGGCTCCCGATATTGACACTGCTCACATTCAACATACTTGAGGTTGTCCTCGACAGGGAGAGAAAGAAGGGTACCACACTCGGGGCAGAATAGTAGTGTTCCTAGCATGGCACATAGCATAAGTATTTAGTATGGAGTGCGATATAATCATGCGTGATATATGCGCTCACCAATTTTCTCTGCGCGTCGCTTTGGCATGGTGTGGCGATCTCGAAGTTATCACCTAACTCAAATCATGCAGCGAATAATTTCGGGGTTCAGGGACCAAATTCAAGCGCCCGTTCAGTCACAGTTCCCTGTTTACCCCTAAAAAGGCCGCACGCAATGTCCATCGCTTTGAAAACGTCCACGGCTATCATCATCTCTGAGGAAGAAATCGATGCTTTGTTTGCTTTTCTTTCCCCCTCACAACCTAAAGATGTCCGCACTCAAGGAACAGTGACGTTCGCCACTTATGTGTCTCACACCCGACAGGGCAAATCCCCCGAAGCTGGCACAGCAGAGATCGAGCGCACTCTCACAGTACCGCTTGAAGCACGAATCAGCTCTACGGACGTTTCGAAAGCGTTGGAGGGCCTTGCGTTGTTGACAACGCTTTTTACCGTCGATCCTCTCTCAGGTACCGCCCTGCTGGCCAATGAGGGACTCCAGAGTCATCTGACTGACCTTCCCGACATATTCCCCGGCAATAATGAAATCGAGGGCTCTCTTGCGGGATTGCTCTCCCAGGCATCAGACGTGAAAGCTTGCCGAGCATTGGTCAGCAAAGACTGGGGTGCCTTTCTCAGGCGCGCTGCGAATAGGGGAGGAGAAGGGACGAAGACAAGGGCCATGCTGGCCCTGCTGAAGCTGTCGCACGGAGGAGAGGGAGGTGGTGATGTTAACGAGAAAGGTGTCGATGTACAACAAGAGGAAGAAATTGTCCTGGCTAGGAGCCTCGCCCAGGAGCTAGTCTGCGAGGTCGAGAAAACGGATGAACCACTCGATACTGTTGAAGCTCTCGCCCACCTTTCCATGACCCCAGCAGTTCGGGAGGACCTCTCCAGAAACAGCCCATTTCTTCGCTCTCTCTTTGTACTTGCACAATGGAAGAAGCGCGCAACACTTCCGCTGCTCTATGGTGTCTCTGTCATCATTTGCAACATAGTAACCTATCGACCCAAGCTTGCTGGCGATGAGGCCCAACTAGACCGACTAAGACGGATGGCCAAAGGAGGCATGGTCCATGGCAGCCACAAACTCAGGGATGAGCCCATACCCAAGCTGGAGATGGATGAAGCCGTCCAAGAACGGTGCCGACGACTGCTGAAGGCGGGTGTTGTACCTGTACTCGTGGCACTTACGAGAAGCGGAGGTGACAGCGCAGGAGTGCGTGCCAGTGTCGGAGGATCATTCCTCAGCTTGGCCGAGGACAAGGAAAACCGTGGATTGATCATTCAAGCTGGGGGCGCAAAAGCGCTGCAAACTATTATTCAAACCATGCTTGCTGAAGTCTCCAAGGCACCATCCTCCTCTCTGGATCCACCGCACACTGATGCAGTCCTTCTCTCACCGATACAAGCGCTTGCGAAACTTGCTATTACCTCCTCTCCTCTTCTGCTCTTTGGTCCTACTCCGGCTTCCTCCATCGACGCGATTCGGCCTTTTTGCACCATGTTGTCAAATTCTCAGTCTTCTCTCCTACAACAGTTTGAGGCTCTCATGGCTCTCACCAATCTCGCCTCCCTGGGACCCGAAATCAGCAATCGCATATCAGGACAACCGGGTTCACTGAGCCTCCTTGATCAACTCATGCTCCACGACAATACTCTTTTGCGCCGCGCATCCGTTGAGCTCGTCTGTAACCTAGTATCTTACCAAGCGATCTTCCAGAGATACACGACCGATCCGGGTTCCAAGGGCCGACTTCACGTGCTTTTGGCGCTGTCCGATGTTGACGACAAGCCCACACGTCTCGCCGCAAGTGGTGCGCTCGCCATGCTTACCGACTCTCCCGAAGCGTGCAACGCCCTGCTGTCGTTGCCTAAAGGGGCACAGAATACTTTCACTATCGTCGCGCAGCTCATCGATCCGGGCCTCGTGCCGAAGATCGTAGAACTCGATTCATCTGAGCCTCTCTCCGAATCGGATATGTCTGACAATAGGTCAAATGAGGCCCCCGATCCAGGGCTGCAGCATCGTGGTACACTCTTGCTCAGAAATTTGCTGCTCAATACGAAACCACAAGCTGACGCTAGGGTTGCAGAAAAGGCTGGCGCGGTGCTGGCCCTCGTCACGATGCTCAAGACATTCCAGCGCAAGGAAGGGTGCGAAGGAATGGTTACGGCTGCGGTAGAGTCCTTGACGTGGTTTGTGCGGAACGGGGTCAGAATACAAGAGTGATATCGTCTTCTTTGTTTGCTTGGCGGTTATTGGGATCATGGTCAGTATGAGAAGGGTGCGGCCGGAGAAACACACTGGTTTCGATAAGGAGTAATCTTAGGGTAGACAGAGTCGATGTAGTAGTAATTGCAACGACAGGTTGGGCTTGATTCACTATTCAAGGTCTGCAATAAGGATCCTTGAGGGAATGGTCAACCTTGAGAAAAGAAACAAAGTAACCTTATCGGCGATGGCATGCTAACGGATGAAGCTTTTGACAATGGCGAATAGTGACTATGATTCGTAGTAACCTGGAGAGGAATCATAGAGTCATACAGCTGCAAAAGGCCACACGCACATGCCGCCGGAGCATGCAGTTTGCCTAGGCATACATGCAAATGCACGAAGAGCAATGTCAGCCTGCAATGGCGCCGCACAAGACCATTCTAACAGTCATTTGTCGGGACCTGGTGCGCTAACAGCGATCCTTTGTGAGACTGGAGGTCGATTCACCGTCGCAGGTAGCTCTCGGACTCGTATAACTCGCACGCACAGAATTGGGGTCGCCAAGGTAGCTTCTCATAGTCCATTATTATCCTGATCTGTGCCGTAGAATATGACGGATCAAGGCAATGCAATATCCCGGTACATTGCCTCAAGCATCTAGCTCCGCAAGGTCATTCCAGGGGAAAGACAACGCCACTAGACTCAAGGCCATGGTGAAGCATATCGTGCACTTCAGGCGACTAACGTGCATGCATGGCTCGGCCAAAACATGGCGGTTAGCCCTACACAAGCCGCAGTGCGTCTTTCGCATTTCGGTACATCCATTGCAAAGTAATGCTTAGTTTACATGAAGATCGTAGATCTTGGGAGTATTACAGATCGAGGGGTGTCAGAGGCAGTCGTTCCTTGCGATATATGCAAAGTGGATGTCATACGACGGTGTCATCAGGACAATTGCATCAGCTGTTCGATTTGTTCTCGCTGCGTGTAATAGGTTGCCGCCTCAGAGTTGCACGCTCTGACCGACGTTGAACGATTCACCACAGCCGCACGCGTCCTTGATGTTAGGGTTCTTGAACACGAACTTGGAGCTGTCAATCTGATGAGGCAGTCGCACGGAACAGTAAAAAGATAAGAGCACACCTAAGGAGATCCTCCCTCCAATCCATCTCGCTCCCAATAATGCTAAACAGGGCCTTGGAGTCGATCAGGACCTGCACACCCTCCTGCTCGACGACCTCGTCGAACGATCCAGGTTTTGCGACATACTCGAGGTGGTACGACATGCCAGCGCAGCCCTTCTGACGAACGCCGATGCGCAGGTGGGTTGGGGTAGGAGATTGGAGCAGAGAACGTAGGCGTTCGATTGCAGTGGCGGTCTGTCCGATCAGTCAGCACGCCAGCCAGAATGCAGAGAAGAGAGGACTCGCCAATGTGATTGCAGCCTTACTGCTCTTGATGGGTCTTCTTCTAGCGGGTACGGCAGGAGCCTTGCCCGGTCCCTCTCTGAGAACGACGGGAGGCGTCTCCACCTTGTGTTCACCGGGTATGGGAGTAGCGCTTGGCCCTAAGGAGTTACTGGGCGCAGCTGCAAGAGGTGAGGTCGCAGCGAGTGTTGCTTCGCAGCGGTGGGGGGTGAAGAAGAGAGAAGGTCGAGGTCGAGAGTGGGTGAGGGGGAGAAGAAAGGGATATGATGGCCGAACATATGAGGTTCTCAGTGCTTGCATGATGGATAAGCAACGAGTTGGTGGATGAATGAGGGAGGGAGATATCGACCCAAGTGGATGGGCTTGTTGTATACGCTTGTGCGCCCGACGTTTACGGTCTACAAGGAGGAAGGGGTGGTGGTGGTGGTCAGAAATGAAGGAAAGAGGAAGGCGGCGCTGGGAAGGGAGGCATTCGGCGGTGTCCGGTCGTCGGACGTCGGCAAAAAGGTTTGGCTCGTTGGTTGCAGCAGTGCCAGAGGCTGACTAAGCTCGCCTCCACTAATTCCCCTTCACCCCATTGGCTGGTTCGCGTTCCCGCCCAGCGCTTCATTTCCTTCTGCGGCATCAATTTAGCTTTCTCGAAATGGTCGCAGTTCCGCATCCGATCATCCTCTGATCAAGGCAAAAAAAATGATCGGGACGATTGGGCAGCAAGGGCCCGGATCGAAGGCCGCGTACGAGGGTGCAGGCGCCGACCGGCCCGGAAACACTTCGGATCCCTCGGTACAACCAACGTCCTCATACACAGCTGGCCCAGTACTTACCTCATGGCCGGATTTTCTGTCTTCTATCTTCTTAATCACTTCTGTTAAAAGCCGGCATTTGGGGCCATTTGCTTTGCCAGCTCTTGCCCATCATCATGTCGTCAGGCCAAGATCAAACACCGGCACTTGGCGCAATAATATGGCTTGCCGTGCGCCCAATGATCCGCCTTGTTGCCTCAGTGTCTTTTGGATATCTGTTGTCGAAAAAAGACCTTCTTAGTGCGGGTGCCGCTCGAGGCTTGGGACAGATAATACTCGTACGCTATCCCTCTCGCATATGTCCGGCCAAAAGTTGACGAGTCGATCTCAGAATGTCACTCTCCCATGTCTGTGCGTACATCTTCAGGAGAAGACTCTGTGCCACGCCTGACCCTGAACACAGTATGCTGGCCAAGCTGGTACCGGCGTTCAACTCTCAGAATGTCGCTGCGCTAGGTCTGTCTTCGCTGGATCCACACGCTCAAAGGCCTTACTCATCGCTGGAAGGCCCACTTGTCTTAGTGGCCTTACTGTACCAGGTCATCGGCTTCGTATTTGCATATGTTATTCGCATCGTGTTCTATGTACCACCGCGGTTCCAACGAGGTATCCTTGTAGCTGGCGCGTGGAGCAACTGGGGTGATGTTCGTGAGCAAAGAACGGCTTTTCATAGTAACTCCCAGGCTGACCTTGTCACAGCGGTTGCCGTGCTCACGAGTATTACTAGCCAAGCACCCTTCAATCCCTCCACAGATTCAACGTTGGCAGTTGCATATATCGCCCCGTGAGCTAGCGTTTGCCGTTCCATGGCTTTCCATGCCCTCTAAGGTATTACTTTGAAGATTCCTGTTGGTGTACACAATTACGCTGTTCCCGCTGGGCGGCTATCGCTTGCTCCTCAGAGATTTCAAGAATCAGGACCCCATGGTAGAAGAAGGAGGTGACCCTGGGATCCGTGCTCGACTGAGAAACCACATCGACCTTTTCCGGAACAAGCTGGCTGATGTTTGCTCCATTGCTGGTAGGTTTGGCAGTTCGACAAGGCAGAATTCTGCAGAATGCGAAAAAATAGGAGAAGCAAAGAGCACCACCGAAGATACATCTGCAGAGCAGGTGGCAGAAGTCCACAATAGACGGCATGTCACTTTCTTACCCGACGAGTCCACAGTGGCCCCTACGAATGTCGAGCCTTTCTCTCCAAACGGCACCACCCTAAATGGATTAGAAGAAGGCCTACGCGTGCGACCGGTCTCTCCTTTGACCTCCACTGGACCCATTCGCCGGATGCGCGCCTTTTTACTTTCCTTAATAGAGCCTATCACTGTTACAATCCTCGCAGCTATCCTTATCTCGCTTGTTCCGACCTTGAAAGCGCTCTTTGTTCCGGGCGTTGCCGGAGAAAGCATCCCGCCTGCACCTGATGGGCAACCTCCACTGGCGTTTGTGCTCGACATCGCTACTTTCTTTGGCAACGCCTCCGTCCCCCTCGGCCTTCTATGTCTTGGGTCCGCCTTCGCAAGGATGAACATACCACGGCCCCTCCGAAATGCCCCCCTCGCTTCCATGGTCGCGCTTGCATTGGCGAAGATGATCCTCCTTCCGGTCCTTGCAGTGCTCATCGTACAGTGCCTTACATACCACACAAGTCTGATGGACCCCAACGACAAGGTTCTACGCTTTGTTGCCATGTGAGCTGACTTTTATCACTTTACTCCCGAACCTGACTTACGCGCGCAAGCTTTATCTCTGGTGTTCCGACTGCAGTAAGCGGTCTTCCCGTCTCTTTTGACGACTTGCACTTATATCCTGCCATGTACAGACTACACAGGTGTACCTCACCTCCGTCCATTCCCCTTCAGGTGAATGCCAGGATCTTCCAGGTTCGTCAACCAAGTTCGACTGCTGAATGCCTAAGTTAACGTTGCAAAGGTTATCTGATCGCGCAATACGTCGTATATCTGTTTACCGTTGTTATCCTGAGTGCATTTGCCTTGCATATCCTTTTCTAGGCATCATATGTTGGATGAAACCACTCCGTGATCACACATGCAAATCACTGTTAATCCAATGTAGTACACCGTACATAATAGAACATTTCTTCCAGGAAGAGAGGGTCAGTCCGTCCTCTTTGCACGCCCTTGACGATCCAGCGTCACGTGGGGAGGACACTATATACCAGATCTATAATATGGATACCAAAGACGCAGTGCCCTCATGAAGGCCAATCCCGCAAATCGAAATCGCCATCCCACGAGACACGCCCAGCGCTTAATTCGATGTATTCGGGATGTTCGGGAACAGGCTTCTCCTGATCAAATCCATACTTTCGAAATAGACTCTTGAAAGGCTCATTCACTACGGGTATTCGAACGTAGAAGTTGTAAGGTGCCAAGTGCAGACCAGACTCGGTTGATGTCGCATAGGAAAGCAGAAGCCCCAATGTATCGTAGTCATAGCCAGCCCGTATGAATGCAGCCTCTGTCAAAACAGCTCAGTTGGGTGATGCGCGATACTTAAAAAAACTCGCCTGCGATAAAAATCATAACTTCTGCCATTCGCCCCCTGTTGCCAGGATGGAGAAACAAGCGTACTATGCCAATCGTCGGCAGTGCCTTGATCTCCTGATCAGTTAGATCGCTAGCTTGTCTGTCGCGGGGCGCCGCAAGAACAACAGCAACAAAAGCTGGACTATAAATCAGAACGTGTGGTCTTGGTATTGCGACAACTCACTGTCTTCATCTTCCTGCCAAACATCTGCGACAGGTCCTGTCAAGCTGGTTGCATCATGGCAATGCGACATATGCTCACTTGGCAACATGTAATCCTGCTCAATTTCAAGGAGTTCCTCTGCTCTTCCTTCGACCTTATGCAACCATCTTCGGTAAATCTATAGTCACAGTCAATGGGACAGGGCCAATTTATAAGGAGAATGTGGATCCACCTCAACATGCTCTCGTCGATAGGGGACAAATACAACGTTCTGCCCGGTGACAGCCGTCCTCGCATTCAGGTGCATGGATGACCGTAATGAAGGACACAGAAGCCACTGTATTCAGGGTAGATTGACCGAGGACAAAAGGGGAGGCGTAGTCATTGAATGGTCGTGGCGATCAACGTTGTGTCGTTCGCACTATGAGGTTACATATGGGACAAAACCCTGGACATGAGACGCGTCACTCTCAACGCACTCCTCTTCCCCTCCCTACAACCTGCTAATCACCCTGTCCCTTCTGCCGCCATCCCACCACTCCAATGCCATTCCACAACCACTCGCATCCCTCGCACCTGTTCATTTTCTAGTCACTCCCTGAATGTACCGAGAATGTCAAACTTGTCTACCATATCTCTCGCTACGAATAGGGTCTTTTACTCCTAATCCTGAACTGAACGATGCTCCTTCTTCAATCATTTCGGGATCTCGCGTTCTGGCTTCACGTACTTACGCCGGATTATTTCACTGTCCACATCTTCATGGATCACTGCACTCTGGGGTCCTTTCTGCTCGGATACTGTTATGTGGCTGCACGGACAAGAAGCATCTTTCGTTTCCTGCCGGCATGATCAACCACCACATGCACACGGTTGCATGTGCGTCTGCTGAGCGATTACTATTTGGTGCTCGGAAGGTTAGGTCACCACATCGGCGAGCTATAATCAGGACGAAAGCTCTTCTCGGGTGCCCGCACGAACGTCGGTGGGTAGCACTTCTGCGAACCACCAGTCTTGGTTGCGCGCGCGCAACAGGACCTTCCTGCACTTCTGCGGGCACGATCAACCACCACATTGGTGGCTGCCCTCTTTGCCGTCCTCGGGCAAGACCGACAAAGCCTCACGAGTGGGTTCGATCCACCATGGTACCTTTTCTCGCGCATCTCTGGACGTGGTAGGTAGGGATCAGCAAAGGCTCTTCTGCGGGCACGATCAACCACCACACGCATCCATTTCCTCTTCCTTCTTCTACATTGGTATTTCTCACACGTACCTAGCAATAACGTATTTAATATGTAATAAAAATATTATTTATATCAATTGATCCAATAGGGGTAGGGGTTGTGCCCATTTTGCCTCCGTGATCCCAGCCCTTGTGCACAACGTGCATGAGTTCTTCTCCACCTCCTCTCTTCTTTCTGCCATCATCTACACTGTTGAATGTCAAACCCCGCCAAATCCACTAGAGCCTCTCATGTAAATGCTGACTTGGGTACTGGTGGCCAATCCAATGTCCCTAACCCTCCTATGCCCCAGGCCCAAGAAGTTGTGTTGAGCATCTCTCAGGTTGACAAAGACTCCCACACCCTCCTTTTGCAAGTTCACAAGGAAGGCTATGAAGACAAAGATGAGCATGAAGAAGACAATGCAGAAGAAGACAATGACTTGGAGGTGTATCCTGGTGTGCATCTCTTCACAAGGACCAGAGTGAATGGCAAGGATGGAGGGCAGAGCAGCTGCCATGGGTCCCCCCAGGTGAACATCATCTGTTTGCCACTCCTGAGCTATATGCTGACTTGATTGTAACAAGAACTATCCTGCTGTCCATCCTCCCCTCCCTACATCTGACATGGATACTACTGGCCGCAAGCTGAAGAAGAAGAAAAAGCCTAGCAAGATGATGAGCAGCGAGCAGGATGAGTACTCTTGTCTGCAGCAAATGCGCATCATGGAGGAAGGCACAAAAAACACTGAGTTGTTCCTCAATGTCTGCAGCACTTTTGGCAACTTCTGCAATGGATGCAGTGACTCTGTTATCGGAATTTGTCAGTCTGGGTGCTTCCATTGCAGTGTGTGCTGCAAGGCACTTGGTGACAATTGTGCCCCACACAAGGTTGGCCACAACACTTGAGGCTGTTTCTGGTTTGTTATCACTGCTGCTGTCCTCAGCAGCTCCATATACAGTACTGTGCTTTTCTCTCTTTTCTAACCAGAGCACTGATCACTGCTGTTTAGGTATTGTCATTGCCTCTAAGAGTCATCTGGGTGAGAGCATGATGATCCCCTTGGGTGCCCCTCCTGTTGTGAACATCACTGGTGGTGTTTCTCTTCTCCACTAATGTTTTACCTTTCCTGTGTATTCTCACCATCCTCCACTAGTGTTTTACTTTGTCCTGTGCATTCATTCCCACCATATGAATTCCCATTCCTGTGTGCATCAGAATACTGCTTGTTGTTGTAAACTGTGTTCCAATTGCATGACATGCAATTAATGGGTTGACCTCCTGACTCCACCTTGTGTTCAACATGCTGCCGGTACATGTTGATCAGTGTGGCAGCAACTGCCTCATACTGCTTAGGTCTGTGTTTTTTCTGTACACGTCCCTTTAGACCAATTGGTGGTTGATTGTGCCCACAGTGGCATATCATAACATCAATATCAGTCTATATTGTATCTTTACTACATTCATATAATTATACATTAATGTAGTTTTACTGTAGTCCTGGTGTCTCAACTTCCAAAGACTGCTTAGGGCCCAGCACATGAGCAGAACCTGAGTCTTGCAGGCCAAATTGCTGTGTTCAGGAGACTGGAAGCAATTTGCTCCTTGCTATCATTCAGTCACCTCATCTACAGCTCCATTCATGTCAGTACCATAACTAACAGTTAGCTGGGCAATATGCTAACCTACATGCATAAACAAATGGAGAGAGAATACCTATCAAAAGACATCACCTTACCATCATCTATGTTGAACCACCTTTCCCCTGACCAGTGGGTCACCAGCCCTCCAAATGCCTCTGTGGGCACAATCAACCACCACTACTCTCTCAGCAGCCACAGCTGTGAAGGAGATGCCTCTGTGGGCACAATCAACCACCACAACTCTCTCAGCACCCACAGCAGTGATGGAACTGTCTCTGCAGGCACAATCAACCACCACAACTCCCTCAAGAAGCACAGCACTGACAGAGCTGTCTCTGCAGGCACAATCAACCACCACAAATCCATCAAATGTGGCAGGGGCACTTTGAAGAATGCATCTGAGGTGCAGTATGATCATATCTATGCTCACATGTACCCCACAGTCACACATGCTGTTGACATCATGCTGGATGTGATTCAGTGCCCATCAGGCTGTCTTGCATCTGTTTTTGGCTCTAGCTGCAGGAGTAAGGAGTGTGTGTCGCAGCAGAGAATCAGGGAGGAGGAGGAAGTGACGGAGTTGCAATACATTCAGGTGGAGGAAAGCAGGTTGCAGATGGCTGTGACCATCCAGGGGATTATGGATGCTCCTGCAGACTTGATGAATGCAGTGTGGAGCGGCATGCAAAGCCTATGGCAGAAGAACATCTTGGTTTCCATCCCTCCAAAAGTGTAGCAGCCCATTGCACCTATTGACTCATTAGTCTGAAATGTTCTTTTCTTTCCCTCTTCTTGTAACCCCACCATCCTCCACCAGTGTTTTCCAATTATGTGCAGCATTAGCACATGTGTAGGATATATGCCATTGACCAAATGCCCCTCCCAGAAGTGTCTGATGCTTGCCAAACTGGATGGTCCCCTGAATGCATTGTAGCATGACACTGTCACCTCTGATGTTTTATGGCAACCTTCAATCCTGATGTATTCCTCAGTAATCCTCAGCTTGCTGCCAACATGGTATTGCAGCATTTCGAAGCACTCCTGTGCAAGGTCTTGGTCATGGTAAGAATTGACATGGGTGATCATACCCATTTGGAAGTCATCCGGAATGAGACACTGGTGTTCTGGCAAGCAGCCCTTCCAGCATGTCCTTATCAAACATGCTAAGTAATTAGCTAACTGATTCATACCACAGCTCTTCCAGCTGTTTCCTGCTGCTGATGTATCTGCTCTGGAACATGATATAAGGGATATGCTGGCTGAGTTGGATTCCACTCAGTCTAGAAGCACAGACAACATCCTTTGACCTGTTCCTGAGGTTGCCAGCCTATCATTGGCCAGGCATTTTGGTTGTCCCCATATGCATTTCCATCAAGACTATCTATTGCTGGCAGCACAGGTTTTGTCAATATCTGTGCTTGCACATTGGTACAGATGTTCTGCACACACAGTTTGAGGAAGGCTGGTTGAACTAGGTGCTCTCTGACCTGGTTTTCTGCTCTTCAAGATCATCAAACAGCCTGGAGATGTCCCTCAATGACGCTGGGTTGGATGACAGAAGAAGTACCATGACATTTCGCCAGAGCAACTCAATGCATTGGTGAAAGACTGGCACAATTGCTTTCCCAAAAATGGATGTTGACTTCTTGATGGATATCTCACCTCTCAAGGCTATCATATCCTGTTACAAGACCTCACTCAATCTCTTTGCCATATTGATATGATTCCATGTTTGTTTGGTTGCCAAAGAATTCCTCACAGACCATACAAAGTCACTGGGCTGAACACCCTATGGCACCATGATGGACAGCATGGGCTTGTCCATTGGGGTCTTTACATCCACACTTTTGTGGATGGTTTCTTGTGCTGTGTCACCACTATTTGCATCAGTCCCACCAACTGTGCTGACATGGTACTATCAGTCTTTCTTGAAGGCACTGAGCAATTTGGCATCCCATCAAGAGTCTGTGGAGATCATGGCAGCAAGAATGTTTGGGTTGCTCAATGGATGGTGGAACACTGTGGTGTGAATCAGGGCTCCTACATATGGGGCTGATTGGTTCATAACACCTGCATTGAAAGAATGTGGGTCAATGTGACCAATTTGTTTGGACAGAAGTGGGCCTTATTCTTCCTTGACTTGGAGGCCAATGAAGGGCTCAATTGTCATAACAACAACCATCTGTGGCTCTTGCACTGGCTTTTCTTGCAAGACATAAACAACAATGCAACCAGGTTCCAGAATGAATGGAACTTCCATACCATGTCTCTGGCAGAGGGAAACCAACATCCAGTGGACCTTTTCCTCAAGGGGTGTCTGCAGCATGGTGCAAGAGGCATCCAACTGGTCACTGGAAATGACCAACACTACTATGCAAATCTGGGCTCTTATGGATCTGAAGTCAACATTACACTTGCTGAGGCTGAAGAGGACCAGCCAGAGGTCACCATCTCACATGCTGAGACTGAGGTGCAATCCCTGCCAAATGCCCACCTCCAGCCTCTGCCAGCACAGGGGTTCATACATACTCATGGCATCACTGACCAGATGCCAGCATGCCTATCAAATATTGACTTGCTGCCCCCAGATTTGTCCTTTGTCAGCAGAGCATATGGGGCAGCTAGTGAATGAGCTTGCACCCCTCTTCCTGTGAGCAGACCTTTTGACAATGAGGCACAGATGGAGGAGGGCCTTGCACACTTGTGCTGAGTTACAACAACTTGAAAGGTGCAAGATTGACCAATTTCCTGCCTTCTCTGCCTCTATGAGGTGTATATAAATAGGAGATTAAATGTATTTGAAATGAAAAGGGCTGTGGTGGTGTCAGGGCACCAGCTCATTGCTTGGTCAAGAGACATGACTAAGCCTTTATGACATGGAAGTAGCTGGTATACCTTGGCATGTGCTGGAACCTGCTGGAAGGATTGGATGGTCAGGTGACCTGCTGTGCATGGCTGTGCATGACCTCATATGACCTCATCCTTGGTCATATGACCTGATCACCTGACTAGGCTGAGTAAGCAAGATGTTCTAGCAGGTTCCACCACAGAGGTATAAATATAAGGCCTACTCTGCCTGGGGACTGTCTCTTCAGACTTGGTCTCTTAGGATCATCCACAGGTACCTATACTGTAGATAGGTCTTAGTCATCAGGTCTACTCCACTTCCTTGTTGCCTGCTTAGACTCTTGGCACTCTTAGGTGAGCAGACTCAGTCAGCCTGTGTTGCCCTAACAGAAGACCAAGTCTCCAAGTGACAACCTCTGCTTCACCACTCCACCTCTACTCTTACCTGCCTTTACTCTTACCACACACACCCAACACCTGCCTTATTCCATATCCACCATTATGGAACAAGCAGAAGAATTCCCTGATCCCATTTCTATTCTTCAAGCACAGGTCCTAGAGCTGACTCAGCAGCTCCAACAGCTTATGACAGCTTCCTGGAGTAA